CCCCGTCCTTTCAGAACTGAAACTGAGACTCAGGTAAAGAGGCAAATTCGAATTAGTTAACTACTGATTGTCAATGCGTTCGTAAGAGGCGTCCTTTGATTCTTTAAATAAAAGACTTGGAATGTGTTTGAATGATATAGATTCTGATGAGTGGTTTCGTGTTTGCTCTCGTAAAACAAAACGTAAACACAAGGCTACACGACCAGTGGAACGTCCTGCTATTCAGAAACCTAATGTTCCTTTAGATTACATGGATGATGACAGCCTGGAGACGGTTTTAGGTAGATTTGATGGTATCCGGTCTAGTTTACTACTTTCGAAGCCAGACAGATCTTTCCTGGAAGGTTTATTAAAGTCTATCAATCAGGCGTTCACAATTATATCAAATAAACAGACTGAGCCAAGTAGGATTGATGTGATTTGTTTAGGATTGGGTAACCCGGCTGTCCATCATGCCAGTTTACGTCAGTTAGTTGTACTAGATCTTCTGTTGCAGTTTGATCCACGTATGGAACGATCACGTACTTACCTGTATGATCCTGTCTTCAAATCTGTTGCTCGTGCTTTAATAAGAAAGCTTGGAATGCATGTGAGTATATTTTAATGTAATGTAAAAGTGTGCTGAGTTCATAGTAAGCATTCTTCTAGATATAAGTATAAATATATCAAGTTACGTCATGTGTGATGAACGTAGAACCCAACGCAGATGTGCGTTAGTCCAGAATATATCACAGCAAGATGAGACAAAAGTAACAAGATGAACAGTAAAGAAGCCTCAGTAATATAGTAGCTATAATAATGGGGCAGATTAAGGATTGAGAATATCGTTCCTTAAGATAGGAAAGGTGCGATTGGATACCGGAGTCCAGGACCTACGGTTAGGTAAAGAATAAATTTACCTGTGCCATTGTGTCAATCTTTGAGACATGACATCTCTAACTACTGATGTATTCCATCACTGGGATTTCGACCAACATATCTCAAACTTAACCAATGACTTGGTGGACTGATACAACGTTTTAGTTTGGCATTGTTTAGTGAATTCTTGGATGCAAGTAGAGCCATTCAAATTATATTCATACAATACTAAGGTATATGGTATAAGGTCTGAAACGTTTTCGGGAAATCTTCAAACTAGCGAAATATGATTGACTGAAAGATATATCGTAACAAATCTACCAGCTTGTTTTAAAATTACAGTGAACTGATCTAGGACGGAGCCCGTGTAGCTCGTTAATATCTCGTGCAGTATCTTGTGAATCATCTTCAGTTTACCATATTAATCTACTTTGTTTTGTTTTTCATTGTGAATGTTGGTATTTTGTAACAACATCCGTCCCAGGTCCTTACCTTGTTTCTGTTTTTTAGTTGACTTAACTGTCTGAGAATATCAATGATTAAATATCTTTAGAATCCTTGGAAATTGTACTCACTGTTGATCCTTTTCATCATTCGATGGTTTACTACTAAGACGAAGTCAATCTGACCTGGTTTTCAAAAGTTAGGCACCTAAACCTTAGCTAAATATCTGCATTATTTAATTTGCATTAAGTTTATTGACACCATTATAGACTAGAATAGGAAGTTGGCCAAACCGTTCTGTTAGCCATTCTTATGCATTTATCGTGTGTATTTACTAGATACTTAATGATTAGTAAAATGATAATTGAGTGATAAAGTAAGGTCTATCTAACCAATAATAATAAAGTTAGCTTACTGTACATCAGTGAATAAACACGTAATGACGAATGTCAGTCAAAATGTACGACACGAACAAATAGCAAAAAATGCCACCTACACATTCGTGGAATGAATCGAGAATATATGATTGCTATATCTATCATTGAGAATGTCGTTTAAATCTTTTGATCTGATTTTTTCTATCTAGATTCTACCAAACAATAAAGAAGGTTGTTATAAATTATCACCTGATCGATTTTACTTCGTTATGCTACCACATTGCGCTCCAGCTCTTCTAAATAATTTACTATTTACTAATTGGTCGCCTAGTATACTTTCCCATGTGGTACTGTTCTCTAATGGATGGAAAGAGGCTCGCCAGGAGTTGATTGCTTCAGGTGCTTCAGATGGTCTGAAGATTGCTAAGGAACTAGCTTATATTACTGCCTTGGAGTCAGTCGTTCACAGTCCTGCCAAAGAACATTATCTACTTTGGTCTTCAAGAAATAAACTCAAGGAATACAGAGATTTTGAGGGTATGCGTGTGCAATGTTTTTCTCCTGTTGAAATGGATAGTTTACCAAAGAATGTATGGAATATACCTCCTTATTCTGAAAAAACAGATAAGAAAATATCCTGTTCTAGTACATTAACACAAAATAGTGGGATTTTTTCCGATATAATTGATGCTAATGTTGTACCAAATTTTATCGATTCCAACACTGATGGCTAAGGATTTGTTCAAATTTTCCAAAATTAGTAATGGTAATATCTTTCACCTTTTTCTTAATGATCTTCAGACCCATGTAGTAAATTCATCCTTATTTGCTGTTTATTTATGTACATTGTGATTTTACACTACATTCCCATAGTACGCTTAATTATTGTACATATTTTAGTCTTTTTTGTAAATGGAATATTATTCTCCATACTGAGTGAATTTGAGTTTCAACCTTAATTACTAATTTGAGTGATGTTTTTCTTTTTGAGGGTTAAAATATACCTGTTTTGCCGTTGCAAAAAAGTGAGGACTAATTGCCTAAGAATATTTAGTTTTTTTGCAAGACCAGTTAGTAAAGCTGTACATTCGTATTGATAGTTATTTGACAGGTAAAGTTTTCATTTATTTTAACACAGCATTGGTAAAGAAGGTATCAAATACATATGTGCCATACAATATAAATGAGGTTGTGCATAGATAATGGAGGCTATGATAAGAAGGGCAGTAATGAACAGAAATGTGTGAGAGTGAAATAACAATGGGCGAAACAGTTCAGTTAGGAGAAGTACAACTAGAAAGAATCCTTTCAGTTAAAGAAGTTACATCCACTTTCATGATGAAAGTGGAAGAAAGTTAGCAGGATAGCCACTGGCTTCTATTCTGAGCTATGTCTTATAACATCTCAAGCGATTGTTATGCCATCTCTAGGACCCCAACCAAGGAGTCGTGGTATAGTAGTTTATTATAAGATAGACAAAGACATTTCTCAAAAATTTCAAACATGCGAAAGAAGTTGAGCAGTAATTTAGAAGGTATCAGAAGTTGTTGAGCGGGAATCATCTGTTGATGAGAAGAATTCGGTTTAATTATCCTCTTGACGAATATAAAGGTAAGAGGGAAACAAACCGGTAATAATAATGAATTATCGAGTAGAAAAGGGATTTTGGAAAACTTGATCCAATTACAGGTCCGACTTGAGGCTTTTAAACTAAGTTCGTATTTGATTTTTTTAAAATTGCTATACATCTTTTGCTGTACACAGTTCCCTATTTCATTTTTTTTTGTTTGGTGTTACCACGCGACCGAAATTGGTATGTTTCGGAATTGGTATGCTAGTTGATTTGAACCTCCTATTTAATGTCTACGGTGAGAAATACTCAAAGGTATGGTTAAAAATATGAGTTTAGTGCGCTTATGTTGAGGGAGTTGTTTCTCAACTGTTAGTCAAACTATTGTTGTCCGTGTCATAAAATCAACCATAGACTCAGTGGATATAAATGTATGTAACTTGTATGGAATGATCTATATTTCTGTTGAATGCGGTTATTGTTCATATATTATTGTCAATTAATCAGTCAGACAAGCCTTTCAGTAGTCTAGCGAAAGTTAGGTAATAATAGGTAGTTGCTGGGTTCACTTAACTATGTCAATGTAATTAGCTGAACATTACATATTGCATTTAAACGACCATAGGGTTTTTGAGCGTTCCTTCTTGGTTTATATCACTTCACTGAGATTAAATGATTTGTAGTTATTTTGAGAATTAGTGGAATTTTGGTTTGCTAATTTTTGTGATATTATTTACTTATCTGATAGTAACCGAAATTTATTTCCGTAAAATGAAAGTCTGATTAGTGTCCCATCACTGCCGTATCCTTCAGGTCAAGGTCTCACTGATATAACGCTACATTCGAAAATACCTGTGATGTCACAGGCACTACTTTCTAGTCTAACAAGGTAACATAAGTAATTAAAGTTCTCGGTTTACATATCACGTCATAGAAATCATATTGTGTCAGATACTCATCGTTTTAGGAAAAAAATATCTTGAAATCTAGTTAATTAGGTATGTACACTATCTTTTTGTTAAACACTTCACAGGAGCCTTAGTGTAGGCTTAGATTGAGCAATGCGGATTCGATTTCCTTTCATTGATGTTTCTATTATTTCCAAAAGGATCCTGTTTTTTTAGTGTTGATACACCTTAGTGATCAGCGACGATCATCATAAAACCTTATTCTAGGTCTACTGCTTGATCTCTCTTAACCACCCAACAACACAATCTAAAGTAAAACTGTGAAGCGGTGTCTTGGTGCCTAATGCATTCAACTTTCAGTCACAATTCTCAGGTTCTAACTTCTATCTATTTCAGCTTTTACGTCCGGGTACTAAAATTAGCGCTCACACTTAAAGTGTACCTCATGACCAAGTACCTGATGAATGGGCTTGTCGGAAAAATGCTATTACTAACAAATTGGTGTTTTCACTGATTACTCTGTATTAAGGCAAGAAAATCTCAATACTATATCGCTTTTTGTGCTTATGTATTTGTTTTTGTGAGTAGCACAGTTACATACATGAAAACTAACTAAATTCTAGCTTGATTTCAATATAAAATTGAATTAATGTGGGTATATAATTGGAGTTAATAATAATGAGTTGGATAATAATGAGATGTATATGATAAGGATTTAACATCAGAACAGAACGTAAACTGGTTCTGAATGTCGGTTTAACAATGTTGTCTGTAAGTAGAATGAATCAGTTGTTTAACTTCATTTGTACTTTAACTGATCGACAAAATGGTCGAATCAAGTATTTAACCGACATCATCGTAACTTCCAGTATCCAATAGTGTTTCCATCGTTTGTATTGATAGCTTTTGCATGATTTGATGCAATTGATAATTGAACCATTCCAATTTTTTGTAGATTATATTCAGTCTAAATTACAGAAAATAAATAAATAACTGACAGAAATGTAATTCCAATGACATTTTTAATTGAGATGTGCAATTGTCATTTAAACAATATTTACTTACATTTAAACCTGAATTGTTCTATTCCACTTAATAGTTTATACTATGAGTGTACATACTTGAATTAGTTAGTGAATTAAGCTTCTGACTGTTTTTTTTACCTACATGTCAAGTTACCTTACTGTCACTAGTATAAATTCTTGGACAAGTGATGCATCAGGTCCCAATGTTTATTAATCAGGTTTATTTAAGTAATATATTTAGCCCGAAATAGGTCTAAATTCAATTAATTTTACCGACCTGAATCAGTGTATCATGTGAACTATAAAACCTGGCGAAAATACACATCGATCCACGTCACATTTCAAATGAGGATAGCAAGCGTAAGATAGTAAAATTATAACGGAATGGAATACAGAAGTGTCGATTATATTAGAAAAAAATAGACACAGTTTGGGAAGAGCGAACTAAATTAAGGAATGAGAATTCTAATTTAACAGTAAAACTTAATACTTAAAATAAGATAGGGAGATGATGAGTATACATCACTTTGATTGATTTTGATCTATATTATTTAGTGTTGCCTACGTTCAGTGATCTTACACTTTCGAAAACGAATAGGACCAATAATCAATAACTCTATAAACTGGTGGTACGCTTTGGTCTAGTCCTCTTTAGCCTTTTCACATTATCTCCCTATGCTAGAATTATCATCCTAAGTTTTGGCGAATAAAATATAGATGATGACCGGTTTGAAATATTAAAAGTATTCTAGAGGTATAAAAAATAAAACACTTTACTACGTACCGTTGATTTAAAAGTTCGACAGTTTTGTTTAGTTCTTGTCTGGAACGCTCGTACTTTTAATAAATTAAAATAAAAAGTAGAATTATTTGGTTATCTGATTTATCGTATAAAGGTCTTTACTAATGGTAATATTAATACTAATAATATTATGAAAGGTAATGATTGTCTAGTTGATTTTACTTAAGTTAGTTTACTCTGAAGATACTTTTTGTCATGAAGTCATGTAAGCTAAAAGGTCATTGAAAATCAGGCAGGACCGTTTAAACGTGTCATCCTAGCTTGGTATGCAGCCGTAATCCCGATAGGGATGTTTGGGTCGTATATTTGCAAGTACTTTAGTTCTAAATCCTCTCATGAATAGAAAACCAATTATATCGCTTCAAACTTGGATGATAAGTCCAAGAAGTTTGATATGAGAATTTGATAGAAAGAGGCGGGACTATGTATGAGACTTAGTCACTATAAATACTTAGTGACATAAATATTATTTTAAGCCCATTTATTCAGTTGAAAAGTGAATCAGTCAAGTGTCAGACTTGTTCGTTTCAAGCTGAGTTAGCACAAAGAATAATATGGTTGATTAGCAAATTACTGAATACATCGTTTAAAAAGTTTTACTGATTAAAATCTTAAAACGAATATCTACTAGCTGGAAGTATCTTTGTTTAAAAAAACTTCTTGAAAGAGACAAAAATTGAATTACTCTTGGTAAATTTGGTCTAGCTGGTTTCAATAACCATTTTTGAACACAAACTTTAGCGTATAACCAACGTGGGAGATTCGCTTCTAAACTATCTAACCAGTAAACTTGTCGATAGATTAGTTCTTGTGTCGCACTTCTTCTAGCCTTGTCAATATCACCAACTGCTAAACCAATCTAACAAGTAAAATAAAACGACATAAAAGAAACAAAAAAACGATACAATAAGTAGATCATTAAAACAACTTTTTAATATTACTGTTGATTTATTAGTAGTATTGTTTAAAACAAGTATTAAACAAAGACTAATCTACTGGGTTCATCATGTTAAACTATGTGGAATTTAACATGTTTATTCCTTCTAATAAGCCTAAAGGTTGCAGTGAGATATGTAATGACTACAGAATATGTAGATTCCTTTTGAATAACTTGTCTGATGGTTGCCCGTAAACTTGTTAAGATATTTATATGAAAGGCGAAACGGTAAGTTAAGCTGAGTGATCTAATAAATACTTACGTAGTGTTTATGAAAAGTTGGTATAATGATAATTATGTGAGGATGTTAGTCATATCTCAATTCTAATTATTAGTTTATGACTTAGGAGATCTGATTCCCATTAACCCTTAGTGGATCTTAATCAGCCTTTGGAATGTTTAGATTATGACACTACAAATAATGAGGACAATGTTTAGCGTGACTTATAAGTGCTTGTTAAACTGATATAGGCTTTAGAAACAACTGGCTTTGAGACACTGCCTTTTAAACCATAGTTATCAGTAAAGAGAACGTTGACATTATTAAGAACATTTCGAGATTATTACACTACATCGCCAATTGACAGTGTATGTAAACTAATGTATTTTCACTCAATGAACTAAAGTTATTGTGCTCCTCGAGGGTTTCAAAGATACTAGTTTCAATTTTGTGTCAGGTCAGTTGTATGAATTGCTGAGAAGTACTAAAGTAGGATGAAATTGTGGCCTAATGCTTAGTGGTGTCAAAACTTCTCCAGTTAATTTAAGTTTGTAATGAAAACTACTTCCATATGAATACTTATCATTTTAATTTTATATAGTTACTTACGCTTGTTACTCCTCGTGGAGGAGCATAGGCTACCCACCAGCACTCTCCGTCCATCTCTGTACTGGGCAATCTTTTCCAGTTGTTCATAGTTGATATTCAGAATTTTTATCTATGCTTCCTATTCCCGATGCAGTGTGTTCTTCGGTCTTCCACTTTTCCGTTTCCCTTCACGATTCCAAGTTAGCACATGCCTCGTGATGCAGTTTGGTGATTTCATCAATGTATGTCCTCTCCTAATTTCCTATTCCTCAAGAAGTTGGTTTGTTCTCTCACATAGTAGATTTTTGCTGATGGTATCCGGTGAACGGACATTCAGTACATTGTGTAGAAAATCACTTATGAATAAGTGTACTTTTTTATGGGTGACTGTAGTAGTTCTCCAAGTTTTTTTTCCCAATCCAGTGAATACTGAAGGTTATGCAGATAATTCATTGAGGAGTTGCGATGCAGTTCACGAAAATGGGCACAAGTTTATTGAATGTTTGTCCTATGGCAAGTTCCACTCTTTTAATTCATGTAAATTTCGTACTTTTTAGTGCTTTATATGTGGTGATGTTGGACATATTCAGTCAGTTTGTAAAACTACTGTACATCTTGCTGCAACTAATATTATGTCTTGTAATTCTGATTCTATTAAAGTGAGTACTTATAATGATCATTCATCTTTATCAACGATTTCAAAAGACAGTGTAGAGTCATATAGCAGTTCAGAGTTAAATAAAATTCAGAATCCTTGTGAAACAACAGTTTCTAATCAATCAATTTGTCAGAATTCTCATGTTATTGTACCAAATATGATTTTTCCTAATGTTTCACATATTTCCGATGAAATTTCTTACAAATCTGAAGAAAATATGTTGAGTGAACATAATTATAATCGAAAACCTGATGTAGTTTTGATGGATGCTGATTTTTCCAATGATCCTTTACTCTGCGATGACATTCTTAATAAATTTGAGGAAACTATTTCAGAAGAATCAAATCTTGATGTTCTATCAAATATTATTTGTTCTCTTAATGCATTTGTTTCTTGTGGGAAACTTGTTCAGTGCGAAGCACAAGTACTTAATGAGCTCGAGTTTGATTACAATTCGAATGATTTCATATCAACTGCTGTTTATTCTTATCACAAAAACACTTCTAATGTTTACTCTAGTCAATGTGAGAAATATGTTTTAAATGAAGCCACATCATTCATAACTTGGGGATATAAAGATCCAACATTATTTCGTGGGGGAGGACAGTGTTGGGAAATCTGTGCTTTAAATTCTGAATAGTGGTTTCGGTACACAACCGACACGGCGATTGTATACAATCCCAGTAACCAAGTGAGTCTGTTCCGATTCCGGTTGTTAATTTTAATACTAATTAACACATTCTAGATAATACAGAGTTTTTATCCAATACAATGTCGGACAGACACAGGATGAACTTAAGAAGACGTACAATCGATTACAGACACTTAGATTCTAATTTAAGCTGTGGAGGATGTGGTGTTTGAATGAACTAATGATTCCTTTGTACTTGTTGAATGCTCGATTTCGAATTCTTAATACAGTACATTCGTTCGTGCTTATCTAGTACTTCTTGATCCGATTACGTTATTTCTGGGATTCTTAGTTCGTACTATGACTCAAATACTTCTAATTATTACAATATTCTCATTTTCGTTTTTCTCTCCCACTCAGTCCATTTCGTCCCATAATATTATCATATCCGATGTCGTTCATCCCAACTTTGGCGTTCAGGTCTCCCATCAGGATGGTGAGATCCTTTCTTGGGCACTTTGCCATGATTGATTCCAGCTTCTCATAGTTTATTTATCTATTTGAACACATAAATATTGGTACAAGAGGGCACCAAATATATATGCGCCACACAAAACAATGAGAATTGGAAGAGAAGAAAAGATAAGGTAAGGAGTGTAAAAGAAAAAAAGAAGAACGATAACTACCAGATTAGTATAAAGTAGTGTAATAATAATAATAATAATAATAATAATAATGGGGAAAACGAAAAGGTACAAGCAGAAGAAATCTTCCAGTTAAGGAAGATACAACCACCTTTTATGAAGAAAGTAAAAGAAGGTTACAGCAGGATCGCCACTGGCTTCTATTCTGAGCCATATATGATAACATCTCTAGCCACTGTGTCGCACCATCTCTCGGACCCCAGCTAGGGAGTCGCGAAGGACCAACACAAGTCAGTCCTTTGCAGCTTTCTTTCATACCACGACACCATGTCAGGCACTGACCACCTCTCCGCTTTCTCCAACCAGTCCCAGAGTCGGCGAATAATGCACGACGTGGAATTCTCTGGGACAACATTCGTAGAACATGTCCGAGCTACCGAAGTCGATGTTTCAAGATGGTGACACCAATTGCGTTATCGTCTCTGTGACCAAACACACGATGCCGAACCTCTGCATTACTAACATGGTGTTGCCACTGGATGTCAGCAATCCTTTGGAAACAACGATGATCAAATACATCCTCAACTCGGAGAGGCCAGGTTCGACAAGCATAGAGCAAAACTGCTCTCACCGACACGTTGTGGATCCGACATTTCACAGCCAGCCTGACATCACGAAGGCGCCAAAGATGGCCCAAATTGGCATAAGCCACTCTGGCTTTCACTATACGTGCGTTGATCTCATCATTCACACCCCCACCAGCACTTATGCAGCTACCCAGATACACGAACTTCTCAACTACTTCTATCTGCTCACCATCCAGAGTGAGTACAGGATTAGAATCCTGCCAATCTTGTAGAAGTACTTTATCGCACAGTAAGACAATATAATCCGCATACTCAATGTTGAGAAATCTTTCTCTTCAGGCAACAGATCCACACCGTCATTACTTACATCCATCAGGGCTGTTTCCAGAATGTCATCGATGGCAAGTTTGAAGAGGAATGGCGAGACTGGGAAACCCTGCCTAACCCCACTGCTTGAATGGAACAATGAAGAAAGGTGGTTGTATGCCCTCACTCTACCTGAGATGTTTGTATGTGGGGACTTTAGGATGTTAACAAACTTTTCAGGCACATCCTTCTTCAATAAACAATCCTAGAAAACAGTCCTGTTCAAAAAATCGAAAGCAGCCCTGATGTCAAGGAACACTACGATTGTTGGCCTTTGATAAGTATGACGGTACTCTAACATTTGACAGAGGGCGAAGATACGATCAATACATCCTCAACCAGAACGAAAACCAGCCTGCTCCTCGCGAGTCAATCTTTCTCGGGTTTTGAACAACCTACTAAGTATGATGGAAGCCAATAGCTTGGACGCAATCGGAAGTAGACTTATCCTCCATTAGTTGTTACAGAAACGATGTGAACCATTTTAAAGATAGGGACAACTATCGACTCTTTCTATGATGTTGTAACACTCTCTAGCTCCCAGACCTTTGTAAGCAACACAGTCAGTTCCTTAGTCAGAAAGTCACTACCATTTTTAAAAAGAGCCGGAGGTAAGTCATCTGGGCCAGGTAGTTTGTAGCGCTTCAAGAGTTGGAGTTCCTTGCGGACTTCCACTTCATTTGGTGGATCAGTCGTCACCGGTCATGGAGGGCACGACAGTCTGACCAATGTTCCTGGGGCATCAGGTCAGTTGAACTGTCCTTCGAAGAATTCTGCCCATCGTCCAAGACGTCGATGGATGTTAGTGACTGGCATCCCGTCATCCTCGCAGATTGTTTCGCTCACACCAAACTTCTCGCTGCCAGTGGCTCGGATGAGTTTGAAGAGTTTCCGGTAGTCACCAGATGCGGCTGCTGCTTCCAGCTCATCAGCACGCTCCAACTACCAGGCTTCTTGGTCTTTACGCAAGCTTTGCTCAATTTCATTACGTAACAGTCGTCGTTTGTGATCAAACTCACGGTTACCCGGAGTAGACCGATGGGCTTTAGTGAGTTGTAAGGAACGAGAAGAAACCCAGTGCTTATAAGCGGAACGTTTTGCGAACACACAACTGACTGTACCCGCCATTTTCATGGCGTCATGAAGTTGCAACCAATGCTCATCTATACTTTTCGGTGGAATGGTAGCTAGCCTAGAAGCTAGCTCGGTTCGATATTTATTTGCAACAGAAATTGCAAACAGCTTGCTGACATCAATCCTGTGTTGGCCACTGAAAAGTAAGGTAAGATTGGCGCAGACCAGGGCATGATCAGAGTCCAGATAGGTACTCCAAAAGGAGCGTCAGTCTTGTAAACAACCACCCTAGCGATAGCTGATCGCGATGTGATCAATCTGAGTCCAGGCTTGAGATGCAGAGGGAGGACACCAGGTGGCACATCGGCGATGACTGTGCCGGGAGTTAGTGCTAGCCAGAAACAGGTTGTGGTCTGCGCACAGTTGCAGTAGATGGTCCCCGTTATCTGTCCTGCGACCAACGAGTCCTCATCGGCCACCTAAACGACTCTCTTCTGAGCCTAGACGCCCGACCTGAGCATTCAAGTCTTCGGCTAGTACTGCAATATCTGCCGAACACACTCTCTGGAGAAGAACAGTTAACTGGTGGTAGAATTCATTGTTGATTGCATCCAGACTGCAATCTGTCGGGGCATAGGCCGCAACTCATAACCGACTGTTGACAGGGACCCAATCGATTAGCGCTGCCTTAGCTCTAGCACTTAGTGCGACGCCAACGCCAGCAAGATCAGATGAAGATGTCATATGGTCCCCGGATAAACGGACGTAAAACAAGCTTTTCGAAGCGAATTTGTAGTACTTCACCAGAGTCTTGAATACGGGTCTCGGATTGACAACAAACGTCGATATTAAGACTTTCTAAAGACATAGCCAGCCCTATCTGTTGTCCGACCTGCATAAGTGTGCGAAAGTTGAAGGCATCCAGTTTGAATAGTGCAAATGGTTTCAGAAAAAACCTTTTCAGTATTCGTATTCAATGGTAGCATACAGTTTTCAACCAGACAGTGACTCGAGAACGTTAAATGGAACCGTATTTCAACCATAGGCGAGCTGCTGTATAAGGATACTTAAAATGGGAGTAAAAGAGAGTGAATAAATGACTTGGTAAATAATAATAATAATAATAATAATAATAATAATAATAATAATAATAATAATAATAATAATAATAATAATAATAATAATGTGGATTGTTTGACTGTAAATCGAAGTGAGAATAGAATTTCCAGTAAATATCGTCATTTTCATTTTATTTGTGTGTAGGCTGTGACACTGCCCGTGTGCCCAAATCGAAGCAGGTGGTTATCTTAGGGGGCCACACCCGGAGCCTTTGACCTAAAGATCTGACTCACAAGGCAGTGGAGCATCGTGAGGACATGCAGCCCCATAGTAGCCGGTGACTAACGATTGGTTCATATGCCACTTGTTGCCTCAGGATACTGGAGCCCATGTGCACCGTTGGTTTGGGATCCAATTAAAGCACTAGATATTCGCTTTTCGTCCTCTCATTTTCGTAAAGAAACAGCGAGGAGGCAGTGGGTAGGACTTCCCTGACAGAGGCTGTATACGCGTGGCCGTGTGAGAGCATTTCGAGAGGGAGGGCGGGTCCACCTCACTCTCGGGCATAACAGGGAATTCGAAGGCTTCTCATAGAACTGGTCTTTATTGTCGTCGTTGTGGTGTGCGCATACCACTGGATAATATATATTGTGATTTCTTCTCTTTTTGTTTTTAACGATGCTTTGATGATCCTGGATCCGTGTGATTCCCATCCTATAAGTGCTTTGCGTGCTTCTTTGAATAACATCGGAGAAACTCTCTGAGTGTGTGGAGCATTTTCCTCTTCTCGACCCGAGTACATCAGCATCTCTCCCGTATCGAACCTTTTCTGTCCAGCTTGGGCCTAATAGGTTTCGCTGATTCCCAGTACTGCTAAATTGTATCGCCCTATTTCCGTTGCTATTTGACTGATCATTCCGGTCTCCCATATTGTCCGGACGTTCCATGTCCCTATAAAAATTATTGCTCTGGTTGTTATAAGGAGCATCGGCCTTTTGACATTCGAAGAGTCTCGGCTTTTATCCTGAAGTATCATACTTCTTTTTGAACGCGGAGGGTAGAGTTCAAATGGTTTAATAATTTTAATCTGATTGGCGTTTTTTGCAAGATTTTCTTCAATGAGATGGTGTCGCCAACTCCATTCCCAACCCTCCTCCTTTACCCGGGCTTGGGATCGACAGCAACTCTATAAGAGCTACCGACGGAGTTTAATTTCATATGGTCACATATGAAAACATAACGTACATTTATTTAAATTACGACCTTACTTTCTGAATAATATGCTCATTAAGACGACTGGTCGTGCTACAAAACTTTCTCTTATTAATAGATATTATATAAGGAATGGAAAGTGAAATAAAGTAGCTTATTTTGATTAGAATTATTCGGAGACATTGGTTTATCACTTAGTAGTAACCAACGTCATGTTTGCCTAGTCCTTACTGCTGACTGAATTCTATTTATGAAGTTGGAATATAGCCACTCGTCTAAGTGACTTGACATCGAGTGGACCATGTTTTGTGTTAGGTGAATAACTTGATAGTCAAGTTATGATACAAAGAGAGGTTACTTATGTATCCCGTTGAAGTTAAGTCAAAAATTGATAAACTGTTATTTTGTGGATTAAGTAACAAAACGTCACCAGTTTAAATCTCTTCATGATATAATTTATCGTCACTTCACCTACCTCCTAAAGTTAAGATTTATTTTACCTTATAAATTAACTCACATACTCGAGATTTTGAATTTCTTACATTACAATAACATGACTGTAATTTACCAAACATTAATAAATAGAAAGAATAAGCCTATTTGAACTGCACAGTTTAGACAAGTTAAACAATCAATCTTTTTACCCTAATCTTCATTATGGAGTAAAGTCTTTTGAAGAACCATTAAAAATCAATAAGTACTGGAAATCTCCTGAGTCATAGTTTTTGGAATTTCTCAACAATACACACTTCCTAACATTTACTGAATTAAATCTAAGGAAATACAGAGCTTGCTGCTAGCACTTTTAAATGCCTCAACAAAAGCACAATTTAAAATTTTTGTTGTTATTGTTGGTATAAGTCAGATTGTGAATATACCTTTCTTATTTCATATTAAAACAATTACTTACCGTTAAGCTGATTAGTGTTATTGGTATTAAAATAATAAATATTATATAAAAGATAAATGTCAATTTTGGATATGGTATTGCAGATACTTGATCTTTTAAATATGATTGAATAATAATAATATTTGTATGTTTATATTCACCCATCATCATCATTAATGTATCGAAAAATGTTAATCCAATATTACTAAGCATATTGAATTGTCTTCTATTTATGTTTGTTATATTATTCATTGAATGATTTAGTGAATTTGTATAATCAATGAAACAATTACGAAATTGTATATTATTATTGTTGTCAGATAAAGAATTGAACACCTAAGTAATAAACAGAAATAAAGAGGAAATAAAACGTATGCATTTAGCTATCCAATACATGAAATTGTTCAGTAAATAAGAATGGTACACTTCAAGTGTATGGATATTAAATCTTTCTACTAGAAATATATCAGTATACTAGTTTTGATATGATTGATTCAAATGTATTGTTAACTATAAGACATTAATTACAGTGTATAAATCTTGGTATGACTTTTAAAAGACTATGATTACTTTGTAGTTCAATATTTTGTTCTTATCATCTTGTTTCAATAACTTTTTTTTTACTTTTCTACTGTTATTTACAGTATCAAGGAGAAGTGAGAAGAGAACAGTATGAAATTTGAATAGTTACTTTCATAGCTTCTTTGATAAAATTGGAGATTGTTATATCTCTTACTAAACAAATGTAAAATTCGATTATATGAAAAGACTTATAATCATTCAGAGAAGAAAATTTTCTTTGCTGAATTCTCTTTTTCTTATTCAATGACACTATGGGTTATTTTAATTATAACCATTCGTTTCACCTACTAGTGTTTTTTTGTTGTTGAAAATTTGAGAAAGTCAAAATTCACTGGTATATTGACAACATGAACATACAGTAATGAATATGAAAGCTTTATGTTTAGTGGCGTAGAGAACGTCAATAGTTACATGTTTAACTTAACATAAATAATAATTCACTGTTTACTAGTTTATACATATAAACTATATCTAATTCCATAGTGTCTTTTGATAATGAAAAGCTTTCGTAGTTCGTTTTCAGAAAGTTATCGGACATAAATATGTCCATTTAAAGACCATACTTTATACATTAAGTAATAATTGATAAATAAATACTGAATGAAAAATTAGGTCAAATTATCAATGAACTGTCAATTAAACAATAATTTTAACAATGACGTTAATGATGAGAAGTTTTTCTGTCTAAATGTTCGATCAACTTGACACTTATAGTTAACTAATTTAAAAAAAGGTAACTAAATTATAGAATATCAACATTTATGGTAAGTTATGATCATGTCTTTTATTAAAATTGCCTAATCACATGAGTTTTATAATGTGAATAATACAGAATAGCCATCATACTAAATTGGTCATCCTAACACCTTAATTATTTAAATTTCGGGAGCTAATTATGATACAGTGGGAGTTGGCTGTCTTTTGAGAATATAAATTTACTGTACTAACTGTTGTATAATGGAAGTAAGCAGAAAAAAAAGTCATAAAGAAATTCTCTTTAAAAATTATTCTATTTAATACTAAGTATTTCACAGAAATTTCATATTTTGCTCATTTTTCGCGGTTTAAAATATAAAGTCATTATGAAAATATTTAGATATTTTAATGAACTTTTCTATATTTTGAGGATAATTCTAACTAGGACTGATGCCAGTTGGTCATGTACTGCTAGTGATTCTTAAACTACAACAAAACATTTGCATAGTTGGTACTGAGTTAGTTAGCGCTAAACGAACTCCAATAGAAACGATCTTTTAAGCGATTGACATATTATCAACCCAAAATTTAAATGCTAAGCCGTTTAGAGGTGTTCGTTTAGAACACTAAAATGCTCACATTCATTTCAAATGAATTCGTATACCAAATCCTTTGTACGAATTCTTAAAACAAGAGATGGTATGCAGTAGTAGAAATCACCTATGCCAGGTTAGTAAGATATCTGTTTAGTTCATGAGGTAATTATCTTACTATTCTTGGATAAACTATACGATTAATGAGCATTTATGAAGTGTATTGAAGTGATTAATTGTGCAACCTTCTACTCACGCCTATAATTGTGTTAGTAAAGTATTGTCATTCATGTATTGAGTGTAATTATTCAGTGAAACAAGTGAGATTTTGTTTGTGAACATATCGATATCCTCTGGTTTTTAAAAGTACCTCAGTGCATACACTTAGTTCCTTTTTATATAACTGTAGATTTAAAACGTTCATTAAACTAGAATGCAATGAATTCCTTGTTTTTTATGGACTTCGTTTAAACCTTATTCATATTAAAAGATAATATAATATTATACAATCAACAAAGATAACCGCAACTTCAGTTTATGACGTAAATATTCTTTATTATGATATATATATATAATAACTAACCTCTTCATTTGGTAAGTGAATTAATTGTTGAAATACTGTTGCAAATCCAATAAGAAGATATAAAGATAAAGGTAACAATTTAGCAACTGTGGCTGTCACATGTATAAACATGATGATAAATATTCCAAAATCTTGTGACCTATAAATAAGAAAAAATAGACAAAAATGATGGAGGTTTAAAGTGGTGGTTTGAGGTAATCGACAGGAAACCATGGACCAAGGTTTCATACTGTTTGGTACTCGTCATTAAAGTTTACTTGTAGTCCTGTGGGGACTGATGCCTCCTGCCACTAAGAAGGACCTGATATAGATGACATTGGTCATTACCCAGTGATCATTCATTCGTAAATCATTGAAATTAACTAAATAGTGAAGTTTTACTTAAGTATGGAACTTTTGATTGAAAAAGTACAATAATGATGCACAACTGAAATCAATTTTACTGAGATTCATTGCAAAAAGTATAAGTGTAATGTTTAACTATCTATGAAAAATAATCATGAACTTTGGAATTAAAACTAGTTATAGATAAATAGCATTGTTCGTAATTGTGTTTTGTTTTCGAAGTGGGCACAATGAAATGATCTAACTATGTCAGTAGTGTGTTCATCAACAAATATATTGACTTGTGTTTCAGGATTGATATAATTTAATTCTGACCCTCGATCTTGTGGTATATATATTTCTCAGGACTGAATTAGGGTTATTTGAATTTTCTTAACAGTAGTATGCCTTGAAAACGTCTATACATAATGATTTACACTTGCTAGTCCGAAATCGTTAAGGTCATGTAAACTTTATTTCAATGCCTATAAGTAATGTTTAGTGGTCTATTGAAGTAGTAGAACACAATAATTATGTTTACTTCTTTATAATAATTCTACAATTACATATCAGTTTATGTGAATATTGATTCTATGGTATGGTGTTATACTATAGTTATATATTCACGCAGTGTTTCATTGAAGACTATTACGGACAGTAATACTATTATAGAACTTTTTTTGGTGGAGTTTTGTTCTCTGAGCTGGATGGTTTGGTCGTGGAGCTTTCATCGTTCTTCTGAACGACATCATCAGCACAAACTTCAGATAGAAGTGAAGTGTTTGAATTTCTCCATATGTGTCTCAAAGCTTCTTCTGTGCACCTCGACGTTGATTGGTTCTAATTGACCTTAAATTTGTCGTTGTTTATTTCTTTGTTTTGGTTGTGTCTCCCATTGTTTTGATTTTTGTTCTTATGTTTGTGCATGATTTTTCTGATTGGTTGATAAATTGGATTGATTTCAATATGCTTGTTGATTGCTGATTGACCTGAGTGCCAGGCTTCTAAAAATTCTCTGGTGTTTTTGGAGTTTCCTCTGTCTAAGATTTCCACATTTTTCCAATCGAATGAGTGTCTGCAGTTGTCCACGTGTATTGATATAAGTGAAGAGATATCATGCCGTTTGACTGCTAATTGATGTTCATGTAGGCGAAGGTGAAGGGGGCGTCCGCTTTGTCCGATGTAGTGTTTTTCGCAGTTGGCACAATTTATTTTGTAGATGATGTTTGATTTGTTTTCCTTTGTTACTTCATCTTTTGGCTTGCATAAGATTGATTGTAGTGATTTTGTCGGTTTGTGTGTCACACCTATTCCGAAGGTTTTCAGCATTCTCGTCGCGGTTTCTGATATTCCTTGTATATATGGTAGGGTGATCCTTTTGTTGATTTTTGTGCTTATAGAACAAAAAATAAGAAATACTTTTAACCAATTATTTATACTTTGATTAACCAGTTAAAAATTATATTAGTGTAATTAATATTAAATATATGAATAATACAACAAACCGAATCATTTGTAAAAGTAGATTAATCCAAGCTATAAACATGATAATAATTGCTAGAACAGCAGAATATAGTTGATTATTACCAATTAAACTTATTACTGAATTGATAATAAGTAATGATTGAAATATTAAAACAAAATGGTTATTCCAATGTTTAAAATATTTCACTCTCTAAATGGTAGTATAAAAGAGAAAAAAAAGAAAGACAAATAATTACGAAATATATAAATCGAAATTTCAATAAAATATTTAATAGTTACTTCTCGGATGCGGATATAAAGGAGAGGATTGGCAATACAAGGGAAGCATTCATTCACATATGCAACTCAAAACAAATGTCAAACAACATCAAAATCAGAATATTCAATACAAACGTCGAGACAGTCCTAAGTATAGAGCTAAAACTTGGAGAACTACTACAATCATCAACAAAAAAGTGCAATTATTCATAAATGATTTTCTACACAATGTACTGAATGTCCGTTCACTGGATACCATCAGCAAAAATCTACTGTGTAAGAGAACAAATCAACTTCTCGAGGAATAAGAAATTAGGAGAGGACGTTGGAAGTGGATAGGACATACATTGAGGAAGTCATCAAACTGCATCACGAGGCATGTGCTAACTTGGAATCGTGAAGGGAAACGGAAAAGTGGAAAGCCGAAGAACACACTGCATCGGGAATCGGAAGCATACATGAAAAGTCTGGATAGTAACCGTAAACAGCTGAAAAAGATTGCCCAAGAAGGAGTTCAATGGAGAATGCTGATGGGCAATTCATGGTTCTTCACGAGGGGTAATAAGAGTAATTATGTATGTAAGTACTGTATCAAAAGCTTGTTGATATTTTGCTTCATTAAAAATAATTCTGTGGTGATTAAAATTTCAATAAGAACATAAAAAGGTGAAGAGAGAATACCATAGTTGTCTATATACAGAACGCATGTAGATCAATCAACATCCAACGGTTTATCTTATCTTATCTAATCAACTTGATAAGCCTTTTGTTTTTTTTCTCTATTCCATATATTTTATCTTCAGCTCTAGCATATAGATAATTGAATATGACACAAAACAATTAGCGTATGGTACGTTTGTAATAACATATAGTGCTAACAAATACAAACTTTATCTTACAGAAAACGTTATTCACAGAATCAATAACTCAATATTTGTATTCATAAGCTTTTTTCAGTTAATGTATTTGATTGTTTTGTTTTACTTTTGAAATTTACTTATGCCTGTTACTCCTCGTGGAGGAGCATAGGCTACCCACCAGCACTCTCCGTCCATCTCTGTACTAGGCAATCTTTTCCAGTTGTTCATAGTTGATATTTAGAATTTTCATGTATGCTTCCGATTCCCGATGCAGTGTGTTCTTCGGCTTTCCACTTTTCCGTTTCCCTTCACGATTCCAAGTTAGCACATGCCTCGTGATGCAGTTTGATGACTTCCTCAATGTATGTCCTATCCACTTCCAACGTCCTCTCCTAATTTCTTATTCCTCGAGAAGTTGATTTGTTCTCTTACACAGTAGATTTTTGCTGATGGTATCCAGTGAACGGACATTCAGTACATTGTGTAGAAAATCATTTATGAATAATTGCACTTTTTTGTTGATGATTGTAGTAGTTCTCCAAGTTTTAGCTCTATACTTAGGACTGTCTCGACGTTTGTATTGAATATTCTGATTTTGATGTTGTTTGACATTTGTTTTGAGTTGCATATGTGCTGTTCAACTGTAGGAATGCTTCCCTTGCTTTGCCAATACATCCTTTACGTCTGCATCAGATTCTTCTTGTTCATCAATGGTGCTTCTTAGGTACATGAAAGATTCCACATCTTCTAGGGCTTCTCCATCAAGTGTGATTTTGTTGGTGTTCTCTGTGTTGTATTTGAGGATCTTGGTTTTTACCGTGTGCGTGCTGAGACCTACTGATGCAGAGCCTTCTGCTACATTGGTTATCTTGACATGAATTTGTTAATGTGTATTAGATAGAAGGCTTAGGTCATCTACGAAGTCCGAATCGTCTAGGTACATGTTCTGATACAGTGGTAATATATTTTTCATTTTTAATATCAATAACATTTATACAGATCTAGCTTTTAGGCAATTAAATTATTCTACGAAAGAAAAGTGGTATGGGTTTTCTTAGCCGGATACTTTATGAACAAACATATATTTCCTAATTTTTATGTCACTAAATTCATAGTTATGTAGTGACCACACCATTTATTCGATGAATTTAAAAAAAACAGTAATGATTTTTTTAAAGCGATGTGGCCGCGAATTATCAATATCCATCTTTATTGTTATTTTGCTAACATTAATAATTTTTAAAGTTAGAAAGGATATTTGTGGATATTGTAGTAATTTAATAGTTGAGATCGTGAGTCAGTTGAGGCTAGACCATTATGAAAAACGTGGATGCACTGGAAGACCGTTCCGTCCTGTTATGGGACTCTTCAGCAGTACGCACTTGCGACTCCGCTAGCGGGGTTCCAAATTAGAACCTATTGGTCTCGCGCGCGAACGCATGACCTCTAAACCACTGAGTCGGGATCAAACGGTGTTAATGTCTAACTTTAGACTATCCACGAAATTGATCTAGAGGTTAAGCGTTCGCGCGCGAGACCGATAGGTCTTGGGTTCGAATCCCGCGGGGTGGGATTGTTTACAATAATAATTTGTAAAGTCCTAAAAATTTCACCAAAAACACATTGCAAGTGTGAAATATTTCGCATAGAAAATTTAAGTTTCAATATTGTGTTTGAATAATGAGATTTTAGACAAATTAACCGAAAATCGAACTTTCAACATAATTTAAACAACAGAAAAGCTCTTTCATTATTAAGTAGTGAAACAAAAAAATAACCTTCAATTTGGTTAAATGAATCAAATTTAAATGTAATGCTCTTACTTGTGAAATAATTTGCAAACATTGTATAAACATATTTGATAAACTAACAAATAAAATGAAAGTCAATATTCTTCTGTTAAAACTTGATTCATTTGTTTGATTGTATAACTGAAAGGAAATTGATTCAGAAAAATGTTAAACCACATGACCTTGTAATTTATTCAAGAAAAGTGGTAACAACAAGTACTTAAGATATAGGTTATCATTAGCAAAATAATCTTTGTAGCTTTAATAGACAACAAACATTGTTTTAATCTAATATGAGATTGTTAAATTGTGCACACTTATTGGATCAGAATATATGATCTTTAAAAATTTTGCCAATAGGCATAATACCCTTTATCAATTGTTATAAATTTCTCAATTTCAAATACGTGACTACATGTTACAGGGATAATTCAATAATCAATCCAATTTCAGGGATCTATTTACCTTAGTTACCAGTTAATTGAGATTTAAGCTTGAGATTAAAGATACATAACAATAAGTTTCATATGAGATCACTTTAATGACGAAACTATAATGTGAAACTAAAAATCATCGATATGAATAAGGATGTAGTGAACAGAACACAGGTGGGGACAAGCTAATTGTGCTTATCACAAAATAGAAAGACCATATGGTAAATCGTTAATTTGCAAAAAATCATTCCATCATATCAAACCGGACTGTTCCTGTTGCAAACATCAATCCATTGTCTCACATTTCATTGTTCATGCGTTTTCTTACAAATTGCATTGTATTTTTGCTCTTCCTTTTTTGACATTCCCCCACCTTCTGCTACCAGACATTATGTTTCTAACTCGCGTCCTATACTACTTATAAGTAGCACGCACCACAGGGACATTTGAAGATCAAGCATGTGTAGTTCATGAAACGCCTTATAGTTTTTAGAAGTATAGAAGCTTGATAGTTTGCTGATCATGATAGTTGTATTGGTCACCTTTGCATAGACTCTAAATCTTTATGATTAAGAGTCTTTGTAGATATAGGAATTTTTAAGTGTCACAGCTAGTAGACCTGTTATCAAAACTATCAATTTTCACTTATTTTGTTTAATTATGTAGTCTATTTCGTTGTTCTTACTGACTCATAAGCTATCTTGATTAGTTTGGTATTCCCATATATCCATATAAATATTACTTTTTATATTAGAGTAAAGCCTGGTGATGGTTTAATTGGAAGCCATAGAAGTTCTAGTTTTTTTCATTGGATAGATCTCTTTCAATTACAACCCTTATTCTTGATTTTCCCTTTCATTACATAATGGATCGTGTAAAGTGAATTGTAACAATTATCCATACAGGTTGTTATGTACATGAAAATTAGTTGATTAAGAAGAAAATTATCACTTATCTACTTGAATAGATTCAAATCAACCGTTTTAAAAATAGTTTAAATTCATATGAAATCTATTTATCTAATTAAATCACTCAGATGACAACAAGAAGCTAGACAACTGTTGATGAATTGTTCTTAATATGCATAAACTACTTAGACACTTTACATAAATGAACTTCCTATTCGTTGAAATTAATTTGGTAAATAGCTTACGAAAGTAGTTTCTTTGAATGTTTCATTAAAAAATGATTGAGAAAAGTGCTAGAATCTTATTCATTATATGAGTTATTCTTGTTTGACTGAGGAAACTTGTTTACTATAGAATAATTGACATTAGAGCGATTATATAGTTCGAAAAAATGTTCCGTTACCAACTAAATTTATCTACGGTAACATTAGTATATTGTCTCATGGTTTCTAATTCGAATTATCGCATAATTTAGATTTCCTCTAGATCTCATATCATCAAGTAATGAACCGACGTGTATTAGGATAGAAGATTACTGTTAAGCCTTTCATAGTAAATTTAATTAATCATAACCATAACAAATTCAACTGTGACAACTCAACACTAATATCCTAATATTCCAATGAGTCGCAGATTTTCATCATTATCTTAGGATCAATAAAATCATAGATATCTTTAAAATAATAATGATTAGTTTATTATAAAAAGAACATTTTTCATAACTTACATTTTGAACACAGTGATCTATTTGATTATTATTATTACTATTATAGTCCATAATAAATGGTACTTGTCTTAGGCAGGAAAAGGTTACTGCCGAGTTTAATATTATGTAATAAACAGTTATGATTAAATGAATCCATCTACCATACATCATCCTGTTTTTTGGGGGGAAAATCAATAAAGATAATGTAAATAGGTGATTATATGTTATGTCGATAAGATTAAATAACTCATAACTAATAGTCTTTAATCTTTAGATTTTATGGATTCCGAAAGGTTGTGTTTAGTAAAAAACGATGGAAATGGATAGGACATACATTACACAAATCATCAAACTGTATCATGAAGCAAGCCCTAACACGGAAACGGAAAAGAGGAAGGCCAAAGAACACATTACGTCGAGAAATAGAATGAGATATGAAAAGGATGAATAACAAATGGAAAGAGCTGGAAAGGATTGCCCAAGACAGGGTTAGATGGAGACTGCTGGTGAGCGGCCTGTGCTCCTCCACGATGAGTAACAGAAATAAGTAAGTAAGTAAGAAATGTTGTGTATGTTAGATCTTTTAAAATAGTTTGGTCACTGTATATATGTAAGTTAGTTAAAAAAAATAATATTAACTGAATAAACGGCATAGATTGAACAATCTTTATGCTTTTAGGATTTCATAATATTAAGATGCCTTGGCAAAACTTATGTTGAGTAAGTGTGTACCTTTGTCAAATGGTACTACAATATACATGTGTTTAAATGTTACACAGAAATATTCTTCTTAAAACCAATTTCACAGTCTCACATGTCATGTATATAAAGATTGAGTTTAGAAATCAAAGTATGAATATTGAAAGGTTCGACATAAAGTTTTAGATCCACAGTTTTGGTTACATATACAAAACAGATTGAAGTCGGTGTACAAAAGTTAATGCTATTTATATAAGAAAATCTATGAAACAACATTGTGCCGAGATGGTGATTTATTAATCTGTTCATTACAACCAAATATCCTAATTCATTTCTAAAAAACACAATTTCAAAGCGTTAACTGATTAAGCAAAGTTGGATAGTGGCTAGAAGTGGAATCCAGGACGCGCGTTTCGTCCTATTTGGGAATGTATCAGCATCTGAGTTGATGTTCACTCCGGGACTCTAACCCAGTACCGTTCGCTTCAAACGCCATCCCGGAGTGAACATCAACTCTGTGATGCAGGTACATCCAGCCGACGAGTCTTAAATAGGACGAAACGCACGTCCTGGATTCCACTGCTGGCCACTATCCATCTTTGCTTAAAAAGCTTGTGATATAAGGCTATATTGAGGTAATCCGCACAGGATGCTCAAATGCCAACATGAGACTGATCAATTACAGTCCTAAATAACAATGGGAAGATACAAGTAAAACAACACCAAGTGAAGTTAACTGCTCAAATTTCTTACATTAGACTAAAAATAAAATTTGTTAATCAAGTATTGAAACAAATTACTGTCAATCTACTTAAACATTGACAACAATATATATATATATATATATATATATATATATATATATATATATATATATATATATATATATATATATATATATATATATATATACTAATCACTCACCACTTTACTTTAAGAAACATCTCACATAAAGGATGAACAAGTAATTTATCCCGTTTGTGAAGAATCATAATCTTTGAAATGTTAAAAGAAAAAAATTGTTAAATTTTGTTTAATTCTAACTTTTGTAACAGATTTCTAACTCTACTCTATCAACTCTCAGTTTGATAACCAGATTGTCCTAATTTGATGGTTATTATCAATTACTTTCCATATTCATCTTGTGTATTTCTTGAGCTTTTTGAATCAGTTTTTCATCATCTTTCTCTTCTGTCTTCCGAATCCTCAAACGTGAGTTTTGCTGTATACTCTTCTGGAATATAATGTACTTTTAGGATGGATGTAATTTTATCAAAATCGGAATGTTACACAATGCACCATTAAACTTATTTGATTCATATGAATCGATATGAGATTAAAAATTTCCGATAGTAAACAACATATCTGTCAAAATTATCTCCTGTAAGAATAATGTAGATTGTATGTAGAAAAGATTTAAGGTGAATAAATTTGCATGTACATGGATACTTGAAAGTAATTTCTGCATCACGATCTGTTAACAGCCGGAAAACTAATCGGAAACTATGAAGCTCTAAATAAGAATTTCCTTCAGATTGCATGAAATCTTCACAAAGTCATGTAATCACAAGTGATTGATTTCTTTACGTTTGAAGATACCTTACCTGCCGAGTATTGTTGTATAACTTTCTAACACCTTTCCATTTCTGGCTGGATAAGTATTCATAGATCTGCTGTAGGAGTTAACTTAAAGAGTTTGTTGACTATCTTCATAGAGATAATAAAGACTAGTATCCATTTAGTTTTTATCATATAAACTGTCTGATCATATATTTTATAAACCTCAAAGTTGGATGCAAAAGTTATGGAATGATTCAATGCTTCAATATTTCTGTAAATGAGAAAAATTTAACTTCTAAGGAGTAATTTTTAGGTTCATTGTTTTCTTAACAAAATCCCATCTGATTGGTCTCAATCACTGATTGTGCTAGTCTATAAGAAAGGATAAAAGTCCTCTTGTGACAATCACAGAGGAATCACTTCGACTAATATAGTGTCTAATACATTAGCTTCAATAATACTTCCTCTTTCCAAATTTATCTACTGTATTATACCCCTTGAATAACATCTTCGAGCCCTAATCTTTTCAATTACTGCTTATACTCTTACTACCTTTACCATTACGGAATTTGAGTCGACAACTGCGTCTCTGTGCTAACGTGTTACTGACTGACTGACTACCATTTCATATGAAATTGTATTCTAGTCATCAGTTTTTTTAAAACAAACGAAATTAGTTTACCTTTAAGTGTTGTAGTGGTTCAGTTGGTTGTCTGTTGCGATTTTTTAAAGGTGGTTGTAATATAGAGAAATCAAACAATGTCTAGAGAGACAGAAAATAAAAGACAAAAAAAACAAGTAACAATGTCTCAACATACTATATAATATAAAAGATCCCATGAACCATTTCTTTTATTGGTTTACATATCTTACAAGGGAGGTAATGAAAAGTATAAACTGAAAGTAACTCATGAAAAATGTCACAAAACTTTGAAAAATAATCAATGATCATAGAAACACATTGATTCATTAGAAAAATATTTACATATATGTCAGTCACCTGATAAGTTATGAAAATATGACATGGTTACTTTTTCGGGCATCGGTAATCAGTAGGGAATTTTGAACGTTGCTAGATTTTATACTGGGTTTAACACAAAGTCAAGTCACTTAAACAATATGACTTATAGAGTTCAATCAATAGTGAGAACTAGACAGTATAATATTGGTTATTAGTCAGTAACCAATAACTGTTAGCTACATAACTATCTGACAATGAATTCAATGATCAAATTAGTCAATAGAAACACATGTACATTTAACAATGATAACGTCGATTTTGCAACTTGGTAATAAAGGTTCATGAAAAAGTGTGTAAATCATACATTTTTATAAAAGCCAATAATACCATTGGTCTATCAAAATAAAAATAAATAAAGCTCAGTTTAAACTTCTTGCTTAAATATTGAAAGTTATCATTGGTGTTTACTGATAGAAACAGTGAATTATCATTCAACTGATTGAAGAATAATTGAGGATCATTAAGTTCGAAACATATTTATTCTGGTTTAAAACAGATGGTTACAATTTAAGGATTTTTAGAATATTTCAAAATCAAAAGTAGACAGTTTCATTCAGGTAAAGAGTATGGAGTTTTGAAAATTGATTTAAACTATTTATCTTTTGACACAATTGATAAATATTAATTCATAAAGAGAAATGTCTTCAAACTAGTGATTTGTTCACAATTCACTTATATGAATTTTATTCTTTCACACATTCTTACACATTCAACCCTTAGACAAATACATAATTTGCACCTTACTGAAATAAATATTTATTCTGATAGTGAGTTATAAACACCTGTAAATAGTCACTCAATGTAAGCATGACTGATAACGTTATTTACTGATCCTACATAAATGACCAACAATGAACATCAAAAAGTTAGTAAGTTCTAGCACGGAACTTTGTCAAATAATGAGCTTAAGATCTACTGCACTCCATGTAAGGGGAATCATCGAGTTTGGACGATGTGGTTGAGATTTCTATCTTCAGTTGTTTCATGATATTGGGTTATAATTTATTGTCATCATTGAGAACTGTCTCATTTCCAGCGTTTTTGAATTTCACCAGTCACTACCTCTTTATAGAATCAGGGGATAATGAGCACATAGTTATTCTTAGAGTTATCATAAATTATATTGGACATCATATAAAGGATTATGAAATAATGATAAATACAATTTCAGTCTTTTAATGAATGCTGATTTAAGATTTTCTATGTATAAAATAAATATTATTCAGTTACCCCGTGTTCTGGACTGTTCATTTTTCCTTGATCAGTGATATAACGATCCATAACCAACTATAAACAATTAAATGTATACCAGATTAATTTAAAAAAGGTAACTACTTAATAATAAGTGAAATTTATTTTTATGTTAAACATTGATGTTTATTTTTGATCTTTTTATTACATTACTCTGTGTCTAAAAGGTATCATAACAGTAGGACTGTATACATACTCAGCTGAAAAACGACAAACTGACAATTGATATTTAGTCATCAAGTTATTTTACAGTTCGCTTAAAGTCTAAAGAAACTTTGGTAATGTTATGACCTTGGATGTTTGGGTTTGCTATCACGCGACCTATCGACCAATCCGATCACGACTTATACGAATCTTCACACTAGGCCAACCAATGACGTTCAACCGGTGTGAGCAGTCTAGCGTCCTTATTGGTCCTATGTCCTACGAGCCCTTCCACTTGAGTCCAGAACACAATACCAGCTTCGAATCAGAGCAGATCATTTGTTTCGAACATACTCGGTTTATATATCAAACAGACAGACCACAACACACCATAAATTAGAAAATAACATATGTACACAAATAAGCCAAAAAGTGGCTGTGAACGCGGGAGATAGTAATTAATAGACTGAACATAGATTAAGAACCGTAAATCGTATAATAATAAATTATAGGTCAAAATAAAGCTTATAATAAGATGAATATAAATATACGTAATGTAATTGTTGAATAATTATACAATAAGAACATTTATAGAATATTAGTCTATTAACAGTCTTCGGAAGTTACCTATAACTTAATCTTCACTGGGTTATAACAGGTAACTTAACATTTGGCTCGCAAAGTACATTGTTTACTTTCAAAGATAAGTCCCAGTAAACATAAAATATGATTTATTCGTGTCAACTCATAAGAATTCAACACTTTATTCATTCTTTACAAAGGTTTTATTATCAATGTCATGAATGAACTGTTCATGTATTTCACTAGACTAGTGCACATTTAAAGATTTAAAAATAGTTAGTTCATAATGTTGTAACCTCAAAACTAATCTGATAAAAGAGGGAAATTGCTGAGGTAAACAAAAAGACTATTCACTTATAGGATACATTGCTAACTGCCAAGAAAATAGATTCCAGAAAAGAGATTCGCAGATCAAATAGAGTATTTTTGTATTATGTATTATTATTGTTCATGCTTGTATATAAAATGTCCAGCCATAGTAGTATAAACTTACGTTGCCTATCAGTTTATGAACAATGAAGCAATGATAGAACCGATGGTATTTAGTTCGTCCTATTGTAACTAAAAAGATTACTGAATAGAATTCATAGCTGTATATTCAACTCTATTAATGTAAATACAAACTAATCCTTCTGTTGTTAGACTGACTTGATACTAATGATTAGATCACGTTAATAACTGCTAAAATAGTTATAATGAATGATGAATATATTCAATAGTTTAATTTACAAAAGTAAATACTGAATATTTCGATGATTTTGATGACTTTCAAATGACTTCTTGTTTTTAAATCGTTCTCTTGTCTAAAAAATGTAATTATCAGTTGTTTACGATCTACTAATTACTCAAGTCTTTTAATATTAACATAAAAGTAATCATTATCAACAAATCGTAGAGTTGTGGATTGGTTGATGTTAGACACTAACACCATTGGATGCCGGCTCAGTGGTCTAATGGTTAAGTGCTCAGGCGCGAAGCCAGTAGGTCCTGGGTTCGAATCCCGCTCGCGGGATCGTGGGTGCGCGCTGCTGAGGAGTCCCATATTAGGACGAAACGGCCGTCCAGTGCTTCCAGGTTTCCAACGGTGGTCTAACATCAATTGATTCATGATCTCAACCAAAAATCGTAGAGTGCTGTTCAAATGTTTAGATTTCAAAGGAAAATCTTCCTGAAGTTTCAGATATGGAATTTATCTAGCAAATTCAGCAAGTTCAGATTACAAAACTTGCAATAGCTTTGATTATAGCTTAATAACACATGAATATTATAAAAGAAGACTCATTCATAAAAGGAATGAGTTAGAAAAATGAACAGTTATGTAATCTTGAAGTAAATTTCATTGTGAATTCATTAAAATGGTAGTTTACATAGTGTCGGGAATTTATACAGCATCTTCATTGGTTATAGTGAGATGAATTGATCCATTTGTATCGAGTTTATGTACCATCAATATAACTAAACTAAGATTGATATGTGAGTTTCATCAAGATTTTAATGACAAACAGCTGTCATTCAAGTGGCATACATTCTATCAATATGTTTAGGTGGTTGTAATTTTTTGGTACGAGTCATGGAATTGATATAGGGTATACCAAAACAGTTATATATACGAATTATTCTTCCTCTTTTCTCATCAAAGAAACCACATACCAAACAAATTTCAGGTAAATATTCTATTAATTCTTTGAATGGACAGTGTATTGTGTTGCTAAGTAACTCCACTATTTCGGGCCATCTGTAAATAATAATAAAAATATTATATTGTTAAATAAATTATTATGATTATGATACTGATAAGAATTGTCATCATGAACTGATGATAGTTGAAAACAACAGGAAAAGGTTAGTTATTTAAAATATCTGTGATATTTATTTACAGTGCAGTAGTAAGATCCTACACATGATAAGACTTAGAGCTACAAATCTTCAAACTAGATCGTTCAAACGCAATATTCTATGGTTCTGAGACCCTAGACTCAATTCTATGTAGGTTATTAGTAATGCTTCGCTGAAAAGTTTTAAATAAGATCTAAACAAACCGTTCACTAGCTCTTAGCTTTTAAAACTTCTCCAGCTGTTAATAGTTTGTGATAGAAAATTCCTTCAAGGTTTATTTAAACCGCATAACTTTCACGAGAGAAAGATATGTATGAAATGATATAATATTCTGAGTTAGGTAATGTTCAGTTAGTCAGTCAGCTACAACGTAGGACCAGGCACATATGTGCATCAGTCCAAGTTGACATACCTCATTAACCCAACAGTATGAACACCGAATTCATAGAAGTAGTTAATTCAGTGGGGGTAATATATAAAAGAAAGTTTGCATATTAGGGCATAGTACAGGAAGAAAGAATTAGTTGGTAGGAAGAAAGATATGAAGCGATTTTAATCTCATAGTTTAAAGGAAGATAGAGAGTGTATACACCTACTCCATTGTGATTGATTCTGAGCCATGTCACCAAGAGTCTCCAACCATTGGTTACGATAGTCACGCGGACCCCAACCAAGTAGTCTGCATCTACCAACATGGCTCAGACTAGAAGTTAGTGACTTCAAACACTGATGCTACGTTTTGGTTTGGTCACCCCTAACTTTCTTCTAACCATCCCCAACACTATAAGGTAATATTAAGTAAATATAATGTAAATGATATGAATGTTTAGTATTTTGAAACCAACGAACCAGGAATTATTAGCTTATTTATTTTTAGATTCGTAATGGGAACTACAAAATGGTGTCAAATTGACTAAAGTATTTCGAATACAATAACTGTGTTGATAAACATGAGGTGGTTTTTTGATTGAGATCATGAACCGATCGATGTTAGACCACCACCTTTGGAAACGTGGAAGCACTGGACGGCCGTTTCGTCCTATTGTGGGACTCCTCAGCAGTGCGCATCCACAATCCCGCTCGGGGGAATCGAGGTGAGGTGAGTTAATTTAGCTTCTAATATTGTAATATAATCACTTAAATAGATGGGGAAAAACAGATATATCATTCAAAGTGAATAAAACGTATACATCATTATGTATTAATATTTATGTATTGTAAATGTTTGTAATACATGCTTAATTTACTTTTCACAGAGGAGCTTTTCTATTGAACTATAACTAATGATATTATAAGTTATGTATACATACTTGTTTATCATATTAATTTCCTATCTGCTTACTTTCTGTTTATAATTTAAGTTTTTTGTTCTCTCTTTATATGAATTATCGACATTGAACCAATAGACTGTTTTGCAAAATAATAACTTGCATAGTAATCACCTTTAGTTACTGATCTACTTATATCTGATTAGGTAGATCTCTTGTTTCAGTTATATCTTATTTTTACTCTAACTGTTTAACTTAGCTTTTGATCAATCCAAATTGATTCCTCTGGAGTATTTTGAATACTTGTGATACAGTCGGTGAGTCACCCATAAGGATAGACAATATCTGTAATTTATCAACTTATCATTTTAATTCTATTTTTTATTATAGGATAGTGAAGATAGATCGATTCATGGTTTCAATGAAATTGAACAAAGATTATTATTGAAAAACCTAGAAGCATTGTTTTCGGCTGTTTCATCCTAGTACGGGGCTCCTCAGCAGTGGGCTTTCATAATTACACACGCAGGAATCAAACCCAGGAATGTGCGGATGCTTAACATCCAAATTTTCAGGGGTGGCATAACTTAACATGGTTCATAATTTCAATTAATTGTAATCGTAAGTTTACTCTTTTTTTTTCTGAAGCTTCTGTACATCACTTCCACTTAATAATGATAGCAACGTACATGTTGAGCGCTGATACTACATTCAATCGTTCAGATTATAATTGTAGTAAGCGTCTTTCAACTATGTACTCATACACCTTGTATAGTTATAGCTAGAAAGTGCATCAAATAGATATGTTGTACTACCATTAATCACTTTTCTATTCGTAAAACATTTAATCAGCTATGTGTCTTCTCTTGTGTGCATTTTAATATGTGCATGTCCATTATCTATTTTATCGATTCTCTTATTGGTTGTCAATTCAACTAGTCGATAAATCATAACTCAAATAAATCCATATCATGCTTAAACAACACTCTTTACACTCTCTTCGGATGTTCAACTGACAAACGTTTGATCTATTGAATTCCAATCTAATCCGTATTTAGCTTTTGGATTTCTAGAGTAGAAATGCATTTAAACGTACGTCGACAGTTTGCAACAAGACACAAGTAGATTAAACTCTGAGTCAGAACATGGTAATTTGAATTGTAAGTTTTATAGCCTCATATTCACATACAGATCATAGATCTATCTTTCTGACCAGTGTTAAAAAAATATGAGACAAGGGATGGACAGCTAAATGTTTAACTGCAATACGACAGATTATTTGTGTTCATTTTTATGATTAGTTCTGATCCCTTGATTTGTACCTGAATACGTGTATGAATGTTTATGCATACTTGTCTGATGATCGTGATGCATTGGATCTATCTAATCCATCAAGCTTTAAGCCAATATATTTATATGTATTACTGTAACTAACCTTTCATGTACAACTATTTCTTTAACAGCTGCCTCATTTTGTCTTGTGATTGCATAATTTGAGAAGTATAATCCATTATGATCTGGTTTGATCTCCGCACCGTTAGATAGTAAATATTCTATTGTATGACTGTTATTCCGTATTGCAGCAATATGTAATGCAGTCATCTACAAATTATTAAATATTGTGTGTCTAATGTATTAAAACCAATGGAAATGAAATGACGGTTGTATAGATCGAGTGAACAATTTGCTAATTATTTATTGATTCTTTTTTATCATTAAATAAATACCAGACGTACATACTGGTAGTGTGTGCTACTGATGTCGACGGATATAAGTAGTATATATCATCAAAAGAAAGTGAAATATCAGGAGGCAGAAGGTTAAGAAAATCGAAGAAACAAGAACGAGAACAGAGATTAATTGGTGTGAAAACGAAGGAACAATCAAGTCTGAGACAATTGATGGATATTTTACAAATAAAGTATTTACTGGTTGGTTCTGAGATTTGACTAAGATTCTGTAATTTTGCATTCAAATACACTTGTGTTCTCACTCAATACAGTAGTACGTAGATATGATAGTAACAATTTCAAAACAAGTGTGTTCGCTAAAGATTTTGTTTTATAGTTTAAATTAATTGTGACAACTGACATATTTAGTACAGAAAGTAGTATTCAACCATTAACTGTTTTTATCAAATTTGGATAGCAACCAGCACTAAATACCAGGACTTGGGTTTCGTCCCATTTGGAACTCGTTTTTTTGGTGTTCCCGCGTCCTTACCGATCTTCACAATGAAATCCAAACCTTGTAGCTTCCACTACAAACAAAACCTACATCTCCGATCTCGACGTTAGCTAATCCCCGGTTATAATAAAAAAATTATGATAGACGGTAGGACCCAGGTAATTTGCTCAGGTTGCACATGTGCTATTAAAAACTAATGAGCTACATTTCTTAAAATAAACAGCAGGAAAATACAAACCCTTACAAATAACTATTAGCCGAATTAAGTAGTTAATTTTAAACCACAAACTACTCAGTCAAAGTTCAAATAAATTAGGGATTTTGTCTAATGGTTATTTAGTAGAATCCTCTCAAAAGATAGGTTTAGAGCTCGTTGATAATTTATTGTATTTTATCATATTAAGGAATGTAATATAACTACTTAACCACTCTATCCATGTAAAATTTTTAAAGAAATGAAGTTATAAGCCAAAAAGAAACTTACTCCATCATAGTTTGTTTGATTCAATAAAGTAGGATTGATCTGTAATAGAATTCTACATGCTTCTACATTCTCTTGCATTACTGCATAATGTAAAGCAGTATTTCCTTCATGACATCTAGATGAATTAATAAGTATCAATAAAGTCTTTTCAGTTTTGATAAACTGAAAAAAAGTTATCAGTATTTTTGCAGTTTCATTGTTATTTAAGATTATATACTACTGAATAAAGAAACTTGATGGAAAATAAAAAAATAATACAGGCATTAATGTTAATTTTGTCATTTGAAAGTAACTCAATTCGTATTTATGAATTCTAAAAATCGATTAAAGCTAGACCACCATGGAAAACCTGGAAGCACTGAACAGCCATTTCGTCGTAGTATGGGAATCACCAGCAGTGCGCATCCACGATCCCTCCCCCCGTGAGGTTCGAACCCAATATCTATTGTGAGATATCAGCCCATTGAAGACAATGGTGCACGGTGGCGCAATTTCGTGGATGGGTTGAATTCGGGCATCAACACCGCTGGATGCCGGATCAGTGGTCTAACGGTTAGGCGCTCGAGTGCGAAACTGGTAAGTCCTGGGTTGGAATCGCGCAGGTTGCGCGATCGTGATACATTTGTCTTCTAGTCAAATTTTTGAGAAAAGAATAAAATGGGATTACATTCAGGTTCATACACCCGTCGTATAGTGGATGAAGCAAAATTTATGGTAAGTGAATTGACTGAACATTTTCGTGATTAAATATAATTGATAAATAAATACAAATTGACTATATGTTAAGAGAATATTTTTCTTAAGTATTACCTTATTGATGTTGAGAATTCTTTATTGTAAAAAGGTATGTAATAGCAAATTGACCAATTATATATAATCTTTAAGCTAACCTTCGAAATAAGCAACCATTTTTTAAAAAAAGTTCCAATAATTTATCTTGTCCATAATAAGCTGCTATATGCAAAGGTAGACAACCTTTACTATCAGTCATAGATAATGTTCTCATACCGCCAATTGTATTCAGTATAGCCTGTGATATTCGTAAACGGCCAAATTTAGCTGCCAAATGAAGTGGAGTACATTTATTCTCACCGACAACTGTTACATTTGCACCATATTGTAAAAAGAATAGACAAGTTTCTATAAGACCTAATTTAGTTGCATAATGTAGCGGTGTATATCCATAATTGTCTACATCGTTCAGTAATTCAGGTAACTCTTTAAGCTAGAAAAAAACGAACATATTTATTAATTGGAAACTTGACAAACTGATATTAATATCGAAAAGTTTTTCTTCATATATTATTTTCACTTAAAAATCTAATGTGAATTATTTGTATTTAAGGTTTTTCAGTTAATATATCCTATCAAGGTTAATCGTTCGCACACGAGACCGAAGGTCTTGGGTTCGAATCCCGCGAGCTGTATCGTGGATGCGCATTGCTGAGGAGTCCTGCAATAGGACGAAACGGCCTTCCAGTGCTTCCAGATTTTTAATGGTGGTCTAACATCAATCGGTTCATGATCTCAATCAAAAACTTAATAATCTCCACAACCCAATAATGACAAAATTTCTGAGTTTATCAACTGTTATTGGCTAATTGCTTGTTGAATATATCTTGAAGTTCTAATAAGAGGTAGGGGATCATTTTATCAGTTCTTTTGAAATTGATATACATAAGCACTGATACCTTTGGATGATAGTTGCATCATATAGATTATTTGTCGAATGAAGTTGTAAGATGTAAACCAAAACACTTCAACCTATTTGTTGAACACTACTATATCTAAAACCTGTACATATCTGTCTATTTCTATATGAAGTCATTATTGTAGTAAGCTGTAGAGTCCCAATACAGGGAAATGCTTGATTAACGAGTCACCGTTTTTGATGGTTATTCGAATGATAACAGTTCATGATGGTAACTATTTCTATATATTTATTATCATACTTTACTACGATTTTTATTTCATAAACAGGGAGAAATACTAAAGACAGTGAAATATTTGGGAAGTGTATTTTAAAAGTGTCATTTTAATGGTGGTCTGAACATCCAGTCTTTTGGTTTAATCACAATGCTTTGATTGTCCTTATAAACAACACATTTAGATAAACACTGCTGAAAGAACTCCTAAGAAAAACAACTGTTGCTTTATGGATTAATAATTTACCTTGAATTGTAGTGAAGGGGAACACAGTTGAGGACAGCCGATACAGTTATTTGGTATAATACGAAAACCATACTTCAATATTTCACTCGCAAAATGATCATTAATTGTCTCAGACTTCATTGTTCCTTCATTTCCATACTAATTACTTTCTGTTCTCGTTCTTTTCTCTTCGATCTTCTCAACCTTCTGCTACCACGCATTCTATTCCTGATTGGCATTATATACTACTTATGTCGACATCAGTAGCACTTACGATTATTAAAACACATGAAAATGCAAACAATTTAACTTTTATTTTTCATATTTTATAGTTTTTGAAATAGAATCATTTGTGGTATTTTAATAGGACTCATAATATACAGCTCTTCATAAAAAAGTGTTATTCATACACTATGTATGAAGTTAAATATTGAGTTGGAAGGGGTTTCAAAAATGAGAAAATGCTGATTATATAAAAACTAAAAACACAATTGTTTAGTACTCTATGGTTTTTGAGATGAAATTACTCAGTTGTAAAAACTACCTTCATACTGAAATTTCACCCCAAAAAATACCCATATCTATATTATGGGAATAATTGATTTGTTTCATATTGTAAGATTCCAGGAGAATGCATTCATATACGCTTTTGAAATTGAACTACATGAACCAGGGCTATTGATGAATGCATTTTATTTCAAACCAACTAGATTGATATTTAGTTGATAATGTTTTTAAAATTTCATAAATACATTCAATTGGCGTTGTTTGTGTGCATCTTCCTATTGTTGTTTAACACTGCGATTGATCAGTCTCTTGTTGGTATATGTGCATCCTATACGGATTGTTTCAATATTACCTTAAGTCACAAGCTTTATAAGGAAAGATGCACAGTGGCCAGCAGTGGGATCCAAGATGCATATTTCGTCCTATTCGCAACTCATCAGCCGGATGTACCTGTATTCCAGAGTTGATGTTAACTCTCATTTCGACTGATAATCACTACCCATCTTTTCATAAATACACCTTAAACCAGTGAACTTATAACCAAAGATACGAATACAGTAAGATTTACTTTTCTAAACAAAAGTGATCTAGTATGCCGTAAAATTTACAATTTATAATAGTAAAAATCTTAATACTTATTGTAAAATTTAATCGTTAACAACAAAATAAAAGAACTTGTGGTTTTGTACTCTTAGTTCTTTATTTTTTACTCTGTCGTCAATTGTTATAATACTCGGTTTTACGTCGTCTACTGATATAAAAGTTGGGTTTCCACTTTTACACGTATGAGACATTGATTTACCTTGGACGAATATCTACACTAGATTCCCTCCCACTGTCTATTTTACAATACTTCAACACAATTCAAATCAACAACATGTGATTAACCTGACCACAACGTAAATATACTTCCACACCAAAAACCCGACACAATCCAACAACAACGAACAATCAATAATAAGTGAGTAATAATAATAATAATAATAATAAGGATAAGGGAATACAGAACTCATCTGACTAAGCAGACAACCAATCATGATCATTCAGGCACACACATCAAAAACAAAACAAAAAAGAATAAATTACGTTAGATTAAATAAACATAAATTATTACATAATATCAACAGTTGAGATCATGAGTCAATTGAAGCTAGACCACCATGGATGCATATCGCTGAGGAGTCCCACAATAGGACGAAACGGCCGTTCAGTGCTTCCAGGTTTCCAACGGTGATCTAACATCAATTGACTCATGATTTCAACTATTGAAATTACTACAATCTCCACAAAACCTCTTCTGATATTACATAATAATCATCATTGAATTAAAACATAATTAATTAATCAATGAATTGAATATCTTACATTTTTTATTATTTCAATTGAATTACATATTTCATCTGAACAACTTAAAACAATTAAATGAAATAAATTTCTTTGTTTTATATCATGATGTTTAATTATAATATTTTTATTTAATAAATAATCAATTACATTAATTGAACCTTTAATAGCAGCTGACATTATTGGTGTATAACCATTTATATCTTGTTGATTAATATTTGATCCCTATATTTAATGAATAAAGAATAAAATCGAAAATCAATAAGTTGTGAACAAGATCAATAAATGAATTTTTTCTTTTTGTTTTTCTTTTCTTTATGGTAAATTTTCTAATATTTTATCAATATATTACTATTTGGAATTAGTTAGATTATCATTATGTAACATAATCCGTGTCGGGTAGAGACAGGTATCTACCTCAGTACAATGGAAGTTGGTCACGCAATTTCGTGGATTGGTTGATGTTAGACACTAACACAATTGGATGCCGGCTCAGTGGTCTAATGGTTAAGTGCTCAGACGCAAAGCCAGTAGGTCCTGGGTTCGAATCCCGCTCGCGGGATCGTGGATGCGCACTGCTGAGGAGTCCCATACTAGGACGAAACGGCCGTCCAGTGCTTCCAGGTTTCCAACTGTGGTCTAACATCAATTGATTCATGATCTCAACCAAAAACTTAACAATCTCCACAACCCCCATACTGATAATTCATTACAATTGGTCTTGTATATCTCAAGATCATGGATTTAATATAACTATTATACTAAAAGATATATGATCTAAATGTTTATTATTCAGTGATTCATCCCTTTCTGAATGTATTTATGATGTTCCAATAAGAGATTTAAACTTACAATCTGGTGCGCCACAATTAAGATACCCTCTTTCTTTATTTAATTTAGTTAATTAAATTCGATCGATAAGTAACCTTGTAAGCTCCACGATAGTTGTTACTTATCAGTAATGATATATCTAAAATATATCGAAACAATTCATAATTCTTATAGGAGTACCTGGTTTTAAAATTAGAGATTTTAACAGTAACAGTAATGAAACCATTGCCTTTTATTATTCACTTTGTAAGTATAAGTTGTACCAAATATTTCTCAGTATGTCAAGTTCTCTTCATCAAGTCACTAATATCTTTTTATGTATCTCTTAGAAACTGAAATGAAATCATTACAGTTGCTAATTGCCAAAATATTCATTGGATTGATTCGTTGTTTGATTAATTTATAGCAATGGAAATCATTTTTCAAATTGAAATGATTAGTTTAAATAGTGTTTTTTTTTCATCAAACGATCAGTTTGTGTTAATTTATCATCTTAAGTTGATTCATTAAACCAAATGGATACTGTCTAACAATAATGTTAAGGATGAACAAAGAAAAGTAGTATATTAAAGAAGTACGGAAAATAATTACCAAACTTATTAAATAATCTACCATATCAACAAAATTATGTTTAGCTGCTAAATGTAGACACGTTTCTTGATTTTCATTGGAACATTGAATTAATTTGGTTTGTTCTTCAAGTGAGATGTTTTTAATGATTGCCTTTACACATTCTAGATCACCTCGTAGTGCAGCATAATGAAGTACTGTTTGACCATTTTGATCTTTAGCTAGTACATCTGGGTTATATTGAAGGCATATCTATTATTATGAATTAAAACAAGAAAGAATTATTTTCAAAATTGTGGTGATTAAATGATTTTGTGCAGAAATTTGTATAAGTTTGAAGATGGTCTTGATTACAAGATGAAGTCAACTAAAGAAGTGTAGCCAGCATTTAAGAGCTATTTCATCATACATATGTATTCCTTAGAGATGCAAATGACTAATTTGAGAAAAGTATAGAATCTAAGTTTGTTAGCTCTCGTAAAATACACCACACCTTAAAGCAGATGAGTCACTAGTTCGTAATGTTTCTATAGCCGATGTCTGTTTGAAATGAAAATAGAATTGAAAATATATAAAGTTCCGTACATAATTACCTAAGGTGATGGAATTTCAAAGTTACATGGAAGGCTTGTTAAGATAATTACAGTAGTGTTATATTACTTAATTATAAATAATAACTAGACCTTAACAATATAAGGTATACCAATCTTTTCCTTAACGAACTGATAAAGAAGTGGCTTGTGGGTGATTTCTTTCATGCAATGATATCAACTGGTGTATCGTTGAATTTCAGAGAGTTCCAGTATAGGACTTCATAACAGCGCTTATCCACAAGTTCATTAAGGAGGAAATTCAGGACATTGAGATTTTGAGGTGAGCTCATTGCTCTAAGGCCACTGAATCAAAATCTATCGACATGTTACAGAAATGTCATGTTTTAACGTTACAAAAATTTTACAAAATATGGTACTCAAAATTATACTTACATTCAACAATTCAATCGATCCTGAACTAGCTGCCGCATGAATCGGTGCAAGACCTTCACCATCACGTAAGTGGATCAACTGTTGTTTCTTGAACGGCTTCCTCATTCTCTGATTAAGTTTTTCTTGTATCATTTCGAATTCAAATGAATTAGTTAAATCTTTAGATCCTGAATTATATTTATTTGAACTTGTTGAATATTGACGACTGAATACTGAAATAGATTTATGGTTCTCTGTGTTAGTAATCATAGAATTGACAATCTGCCAAGAAGGTTCTGTTATTGTTGTCGTTGGCTCATTATGTGCTTGCATATCATATTGATTATAATCCAAAAGAATTTTAAGGCATTGTAAACTTGATTGGGAAATCGCTTCATGAATTGGATATTTTCCTAAAGCATCCGTCTGGTATATATTCCCACCAGCTTCTATCTTGTTAACAGAAAAGATGACAAAAATTAGCTATGAATTTAACAATTTCCTATAATTACTTAAGGGATTATTTTCATGAAGAATTACTCTTATATTCAAGTTTTTTTGTAACAGTTATATGATCTATTCACTGCATACACAAAACAAGCAACTGAGGTTTTGAAGGAAATTAGGAAACAATGAGTGGATATTCACGAAACGTTCATGGTTGTTTATTGAGATAACGCGTTAGATAAGGTAGATGTTTCCCAGTGGATCAAGGGTCTTGTTGACAACAAGAATGGTGCGAGGCCAGGATGACTGTATACCTCCTATATTGTTAAATATATTTAACATATGCTATCTCTTGTTCATTCTTAGTCCCGTTTTACTGCTCAGATAAATGCCGATGAACAAAACTTAGGAAATATGGTCTATAAATCTAATTATGAAAAACCTCGCACTTCAGGACTTGTATTTATGTTTGGAACAATGGGAATGGGGATGGCTAGTGTTTATCGCCACAGATGGATTTACTTTTTATGTTGACAAAATCGGTGCATCTTAAATTTGATGCTCTGAAACGTTTGTGACCATAGATTGTAAATTTATTTGAAAATTTACCCATAAAATGTGTCACCAATATTGATTTACAGTACTGTCTGAATATTGAAATGGAGCGGAATTTAACCATGAAGTATGCTTTATATATTGTATTTTGAAGAACCTAACACAATTGAAAGAAGCTTACGTTATAACGCATGTTGACAGAGTTTTGCTCTGCAATTCTAGGTCTTTCTTTAATTGAAACGTGTCAGGAAGGGTAGTTTCAAAGAAAAATAAATGAAATGCATATTCACTTAAGATAAAGACAGTCTAAAGTATTTGGTGTGATCGAGTATAATGTAATTGCTTTTATATTTTAAAAGCAAAGAGAATTATAGTCATAGTTCTCAGTGTTCTATAGACAACTTTTGTTCAGACTGAGTCAATCGTCTGTCGGTTAAAACAATCGTACAGTAGTGATTAATTTATAACATAATTGTAATATGAAAGTTAAAAAGTCGAAGTATTAAATTTTTTGGTAAGTTCTTCGAATTTTCGACATTTATATTTGATGTTTCACCCTGAACATCGTGAAAAGTTAATTTCGGAGTATAACATAGACTACTGTTTGAATATTAAACTGTATTATCTTACATGTAGTGATTATTTATTTTAAAATTTCTTACCAACATTTGTAAACATGCAGCACTATCATTGAAACAACAATAATGAACTGGTGTTGCACCTTGTTCATCAGGTGTATTGGCATCTACTGCAATTTCAAGCAGAAGCTAAAATATATTAATCAATGAAGTATGCATGTATATGTGTATTAGAAGAAAATAAAACTTTGTTCATAAAATAAATTATTTAGAATATATGGAATGAGGCTAGCGGTAGGATCTAGGACTCACGTTTCATCCTGAGCTGGACTCGTCAGTTGGATGTACCTGGATTTTATGGATGATATTCACTCCTGGACTCAAACACAGTTCAGTTTACTTCAAACACTTTTGTATTATCCACTTAGCTAATGAGTTCAGATAGTCACTAATTTGTGCAACGCATGTAAAATTCAACCCAATTTGAAATGGATCAGATTGTCCCATCGTTGATATTTTCGACTAAAATCTGACCAGTCTTGGTTGGGATGTGAGTAACCTGTACAGTTATATCCGGTAGATGAGTCCAGAATTAGATGAACCTAGCGTCCTGGATTCCATTCCCAGCCACATCCCACCAATTATATATCAGCGTGTGTCATAATGACTATATCAAGGCAATCTGGGCAGGTCAACCATATACCAATCAGGACTGACCAAATTTTGATCAAATATATTAACAACAAGATAATACGAACTATTCCAAATTGGATTCAACAAGTTATATGTTAAATGATACCATGCTATTTCACTGTTTTATAGGTTAGTTTATCTATGAAAATATTCTAAATGAAATTTAACATTCAGAATTATTTTCCGGTAAATAGAAATCCTTTTGTTTTAAGAAGCTAAACTTCCTTGACGTCACACTTAACAGACGAAACAAAGGCACGTTAAGTAGAAGCGTGTATAGAAGAAACCCCTCTTCGTGCCAATATACTCACTTCTGCAGTTTCACACCTATCCATTACAAGAGAAACTTGGTCAGATGTCTCACTAGCAGAGCAAAAAAGATCTGTACAGTAGATACTCTAAGTCAGGAGCTTGAATTTATCAAAAACACACTGACCGAGATCGACTACCCCAGTGCTTTCATTAAGAAGTACATGTATGACATAATAAAGAAGTCGGAGATTTCGACGGTTCCTAAGATACCTTTATACATGAAAGTGCAATTCAACGGGGATGTGGCTAGTGACACTCTGAAATATAGGTTAACTAAAGTAATCACGAAGACATTCTACTCAGCCAATCTTGCGTTGACCTTCTCTTGTCGACCAGTGATGTCTACTCAAACGAAGGATAAGTTACCTGAGTTGGCCTATTCTATGCACATTTACAAATTCAGCTGCTCCTGTGGAAATAGCTATATAGGGCGTACTACCAGGCAACTTAACCAACGGATGGGTGAACATCTACCAACTTGGTACATAAAGGGCCAGAGAAAATCTGTTCGCAGTTCTATCTTGGCACATCTCATTGATAGCGGTCATGCTGTAGATAACTCGAAATCATTTCGAGTTATCTATTGTATACCTCCATCATTTCCCAACGGAGTTCGTTCTCGCCTCCTACATATAGCTGAAGCGATTGGAATTCGTACATATAACCCCAATTTATGTGTACAGAAGAAAAACGTAAACCCCCTATCCCTTCCATGGCCAGTTATAACTTAACTAACGAATTTCTTTAAAATTTTATTATCATTATTTATTTTATTCTATTTGTGTTATCATTAACCTATATTTCCACATCCATTATTTGTTTGTAATTTTCCGCCTTTTTGTATTCTTCACTATCTAATTATTTACACACATCTTATTACGTAATGATCTTAATGTTTGGTGATGACTATCCTAAGTCTATTTATCCACGTTTGGCCTTCTATTTCCAACGATTAACTATTGATAAGACTTTTGTTATCGTATTTTATTATTCTTACTACTATCAGTACACCTGCCTTCCTACTATCAACTTGTACTTTTACCTATTATGTGTAGAGACTTATTCTATTTCATTGTGATTATTGACCCATATTGCCTTGATTGGTTTAAAAAATTTTCTTATAAATATTCATGTATATTAGAGTTAAGCCTGATGACAATCTAATTGAAAACAATATTGTTCGCTTATATGTGTTGTTCTAATCTTCGTTATTGTCAAAAGCTTAGATTATGTTAGCAATTGTAATTTGATAAGTATGTACTATATTTTATTTCAAAGGAACAACTTTTTGTGGCATACAACTGGATTGGTCATGAGACTAACATTGATTACTTTTTTAATATAGATGCATCTAAGTACAATGTAAACTGTCACAAGATTGTAATTTTTTTGTTAGCTAACTGTAGATTGTTTTTAATAGTTAAGCTTACGAATCCTGTTACTTCATTGTACAGCTTTATTAGTAACATTCATTCTTAGCTTTGATTCATTATTTTTCATCTCATAATTTGTAACATATTGTTATCATATAGAAGCTAACCTCAATTCTCTCATTTATATTCATTCAGTTAGGCTGTGTGTTTGACTATTGGTAGTTAGGTAGTTAGAACTTGGAGATTAGTATATAGAAGAAAATATCATTGTTCGATTTATTCCGTTATCTTACTAAAACAATGTTCCTGTCATAATAATGTCTAGATCAATACTTGTTCACGGGACACTGATAAAGTTATTTTGTAACTATAAACGTACACATTAAATGATAGTTCTATGTTCTTTTCGTCTTACAGTATTACGCTGCAAAAAATTAACTATTATATATTAGGCATTTATGTTACTAATGGATCCATCCAAAACTTACTATCTACTTACTTCTAATCCTTCTATAAAATCCGCTTCACATGCTAGATGTATAGCTTGTGCACCTAGTCGGTTTTTCGCATTCACGTTGGCGCCAAAATCAATTAACAGTTGAAGTATTTGTACGTGTTTTCTTGAGACTGCTGAGTGTATAGGTTGATTTCCCAATTCATTGATATAATTTGGATCTAATAGAAAATACAACATGTGAAAACAGTGTTATATTAATTTCAGACAGATAGAACATTCTACTTATCAGTTATCTGTTTACTATCATAAAAATGACGTTAATATGATGGTCACTCTCGGGGTATGCAGTTCGATACAACATTGCTAGAGTTTTTCTATCATTATCATTTATGTTTAAATCTAGAATAAATGGTTAATTTTTGATTGCCATAATATTGAATGAGCTTTGGAATAGTGAATGGAGACTAAGGTGTGGAAAAGCAATTCATTGTTCATTGCAGAATTACACAGTAATTTTATAAAATATGAAATTCATACGTTAAATGCGTTATTTGCACACGTTCCATCACTTGTCCTTTACACAATTTATGATTCTTCCAATTTTATTTTTATTCAAATTGCTCTCTGTTTCACTCGTTGTTCTCTTCAATTCAATCTTCTGCTGGCAGGCATTTTACTTCAGATTACTCAAATCTGTCAACATAAGTAGTATGCACCAAACCAGTAGTAGAAGTCGTAGTGGAAATTTTAAAGTAAACTTAATAGGATGTATTTGTGATATATTACTCTACGCTTAGACTGCAGCATCATTATCTATGGGTTCCCTAGTTTCAAGGCGCAAATATGTACGCTTTATGAGTTCCGAAAAAAGAGTATGTTGGGGGGTAGGCTTATGATCTTTGTGAGATGAGATTGCTTGTTGTATGTTTGGCTTGTCCAGTCACATGGTAATTTATTCACACTGGGCCCTATAAGATTGGTATTTTCTGTGATTGAATGTAGGTACAAGCGTAACTGAGGAGATCTGTTGTCCGGTAGAGCTAGATTTTCTACGGACCCTATTGAGAGATGTATGGCTTCGGTTGTAACGTTTCTGACGAGCGAAATGATAAAACGAGTGTGGATACCACAGACGATAGTTAATGCACGGCACAGTGTTAGGGATAAAGTAAGAAAAGAATTGAGATTGGGTTGGTTTAGACACCCACTTGAGCATCCTTTTGGTGTGTTCCTTGCTGAATATCTTGAACCCTTCAAATCCTAATGACAGTGTAATGAACAAGAATACCAGTGAGGACAATCAAATATATTTGACTCAAAATTACAGGACATGTTAATAAAATCTAACAATCAATTAGTAAATTCGTATTTAGCAAAATGTCCATAAATTGTCTCATAATGACTCAGACTTCATTGTTCTTTCATTTTCATACAAATTGCATTCTGTTCCCATTCTTTACTGTTCGATCCTCTTGTCTCTCTGTTGCCAGATCTTCTGTTCACGAGTAACGTTATATACTACTTATGTCAGTATAAGTAGCACGCACCACAACAGTTCATCCAATGGTATGTTCCACTGGGTGAGAACGGCTTTCACTTTTAGATCTTTTGGGGTTCTGATTGTGTAGATATGTGATGACCACACGCCTGGCCAGTTGGAGTGAAATATAAACATTTGGTAGGCTTTAGTAAAACGTATTGATAGTCATATAAAACCAGCGATTCTTTCAAAAACTAAGTAGAACGATTACAAATTAGTAGTCACGTACATATATTCTACATTAAAACTAAGGTTCGTTGTTAAAAAGTTGTTTTGATAAATGATCTTTGAATACTTTTTCATTTTTAAATACCTTGATTACTTTAGTAGGTTAACCTCAGGTCATGTAATTGGTTGATTTTTTTCTTATATGTTGACAAATCGGATCTAACTGAATAAGTCTGTTAATTGTAGATTAACTCACTAATGACAATGGTGAATGTGTCAATCAATTTCGTGGATTAGTTGAAGCTGGACATTAACACCGCTGGATGCCGGATCAGTGGTCTAGTGGTTAAGCGCTCACACGCGAGACTGATAGGTCCTGGGTTCGAATTCCCTGATGCGGGATCGTGGATGCGCACTGCTAAGGAGTCCTACAATAGGACGAAACGGCCGTTCAGTGCTTCCATGTTTTCGATGGTGGTCTAACATCAGTCGGTTCATGATCTCAATCACGAACTCAATCATTCATCTAGTTATGATATTCGTTACAGTTAGAGTGTTGACAAGTTGTTATCATAAACAAGATCTTTAAAAAAACGACAAATAAAGCTTAGATCATTAATAGAATAAAGTAGTAAGTTTACTTGTAATAGTTTGCAATTTATTAAAGATATTTAAACAATATCAAATGAAGTACTTAGTTAAATTAATGATTATAACAATTAAGTAATATAGAATAGAATCTATTCTACCTGCTCCATTATTTAATGAACATTTGACTAAATCTGTATATCCATATTCCACTGAATAATGTAATATTCTATTAATCACATTGTCAGATGAATTTAAAGGGACTGAATCATTTTGGATTGTATAGATAATATCTTCATACTGAAGTATCAAGCATAGGAATAACAACAACAACAAGAAGAACAACAAATAAGGAAAAGAAAACATTCATGAAAAAGAAGTATTTTTAAAGTAAAATAAATAGAAACTTATCAAATGTTAGCGGTTATGCTCCATTCATATTTATCTATAATGTTACAATTTGTTTGTTAAATAGAAGTCAGTATCAATGAGAAAACAACTATTTAGAGCCTTCAAAATTGTGTTAAGGCATGAATGTTGTAAGAACAACAAACTGTCGGATAAATGATTTTTCATAATACTTTAAAATGATAACTATAATTCATAAGGAATATTATTACTTTCAGTGAACAATTATCAAACTCCGCCTGGAGTCCCTCCGGTGGCTACTGCCGGTCCCAAGCTCGGATAAAGGAAGAGGGTTGGGCATGGGGTTAGCGTTCCCATCCTGTAGAAAACTAACTCGCTAAAAAAACGCTAACCAGAAAAAATTATTCAAACCTTTTAAACTCTGCCCCGGGAGTCAGAAGGTCTTCATTTAGAAGAACTATGATTCCTTCGGAAGTTACGAAGCCGATGCCCCTTCTGACAACCAGAGCGACCATTTATTTAGGTACATGGAATGTTCGCATAATGTGGGACACCGGGAGAGCCTTCCAAATTGCTGCAGAAATGAGAAGATACAACCTAGAGGTACTTGGGATCAGTGAAACACATTGGACGCAAGTTGGACAACAACGACTAACTTCAGGAGAGCTTCTGTTATACTCGAGCCATGAAGAAGGAAATGCCCCACATACACAAGGAGTTGCATTGATGCTATACAAGCACTTATAGGATGGGAATCTCATGGACCAAGGATCATCAAAGCCTCCTCCAAAACAAAGAAAGAGGGCATTTCGATGAATATCATCCAATGCTATGCGCCTACTAACGACTACAATGAAGACGCTAAAGATCAATTCTACAATAGGCTGCAGTTAATCGTCGAGAAGTGCCAAACAAAGGACCTGACCATTCTGATGGGAGATTTCAACGCCAAGGTTGGAACGGACAACACTGGATATGAAGACATCATGGGACGACATAGACTGGAAGAAAGATACGAAAATAGTGAGATTTGCAAACCTATGTGCCTTCAATAAACTGGTCATAGGCGGCACCATATTCTCGCATAAACGCATACACAAAACCACATGGACTTCACCGGATAACACCACGCAAAACCAAATCGACCATATTTGCATCAAAAAAACGTTCAGGAGGACTATAGAGGACGTGAGAACCAAGAGAGGAGCCGATATAACATCAGATCATCACTTGTTGGGCGCCAAGATGAAATTGAAACTCAAGAAGCACTGGACAATGGGGCGGACAATATCACAAAAGTTCAATACGGCCTTTCTTCAGGATACTAACAAACTCAACAAATTCAAGATAGTCCTCAGCAACAAGTTCCAGGCCTTTCATGGTCTACTCAATGGAGAAGGAACTACTGTGGAGAGCAACTGGAAGGGGATCAAAGAGGCAATCACTTCAACATGTCATGAGGTCCTGGGTCACAAGAAGCACCATCACAAGGAATGGATCACTGTTGATACACTGGATAAGATTCAAGAAAGAAGAAACAAGAAGGCAGCAATCAATACCAGTCGAACAAGAGCAGAAAAAGCCAAGGCACAAGCTGAATACACAGTAGTAAACAAACAAGTGAAGAGGAGCATTACAACCGACAGATGTAAATATGTGGAAGATTTAGCAACGACGGCGGAAAAGGCTGCAAGAGAAGGGAACATGAGACAATTGTATGACACGACAAAGAAACTCTCTGGAAATCGCCGCAAACCAGAACGACCAGTGAAAAGCAAGGAGGGCAAGGTAATCACCAACATTGAAGAACAACGAAAAAGGTGGGTGAAACACTTCAAAGAACTCTTGAATCGACCAGCTGCACTGAAGCCACCCAACATCGAAGCAGCACCCACGGACCTCCCAATCAACGTCGGCCCACCAACAATTGAAGAAATCAGCATTGCCATCAGACAAATTAAGAATGGCAAAGCAGCAGGAACAGACAACATTCCAGCAGAGGCACTAAAAGCAGACGTAGCGGCAACTGTAAGGATACTCCACATTCTCTTCAATAAGATTTGGGATGAGGAACAAGTACCAAAAGACTGGAAAGAAGGACTTCTGGTCAAGTTATCGAAGAAAGGCGATCTCAGCAACTGTGATAACTACACGGGAATCACTCTTCTTTCAATACCGGGAAAAGTCTTCAACAGAGTATTGTTAAACAGAATGAAGGACTGCGTAGACACCCAACTTCGTGACCAACAGGCAGGATTCCGTAAGGATAGATCGTGTACAGACCAAATCTCAACTCTACGGATCATTGTGGAACAATCAATTGAATGGAATTCATCACTCTACATCAACTTCATTGACTACGAAAAGGCATTTGATGGCGTGGACAGAACAACACTATGGAAACTTCTTCGACACTACGGCGTGCCTCAGAAAATAGTCAATATCATACAGAGTTCATATGATGGATTACACTGCAAAATCGTGCATGGAGGACAGTTGACAAAGTCGTTCGAAGTGAAGACCGGTGTTAGGCAAGGTTGCTTACTCTCACCCTTTCTCTTTCTCCTGGTGATCGACTGGATCATGAAGATGTCAAAGTCTGAAGGGAAGCGCGGGATACAATGGACATTTGGGATGCAGTTGGATGATCTAGACTTCGCAGATGATCTGGCCCTTCTATCACAAGCGCAACAACAGATGCAGGAGAAGACGAACAGTGTGGCAGCAGCCTCAGCAGCAATCGGTCTCAATATACACAAAGGGAAGAGCAAGGTTCTCAGATACAACACAGCATGCACCAATCCAGTTACATTTGACGGAGAATATTTGGAGGATGTAAAAACCTTTACATATCTGGGCAACATCATTGATGAACATGGTGGATCTGATGCAGATGTGAAGGCGCGGATCGGCAAAGCCAGAGTAGCATATTTACAACTGAAAAACGTCTAGAACTCAAAACAACCGTCAACCAACACCAAGGTCAGAATTTTCAATACAAATGTCAAGACAGTTCCACTGTATGGGGCGGAAACCTGGAGAACTACAAAAGCCATCATCCAGAAGATACAGGTGTTTATTAACAGTCGTCTACGCAAAATACTTCGGATCCGTTGGCCGGACACTACTAGCAACAACCAACTGTGGGAAAGAACAAACCAGATCCCAGTGTAGGTAGTAATTAGAAAGAAGCGCTGGAAGTGGATACAACACACATTGAGGAAAACACCCAACTGCGTCACAAGACATGCCCTCACATGGAGTCCTCAAGTCCAAAGGAGGAGAGGAATACCAAAGAACACATTATGCAGGGAAATGGAAATAGACATGAGGAAAATGAATAAGAATTTGATGGAACTAGAAAAGAAGGCCCAGGACAGAGTGGGTTGGAGAGTGCTGATCGGCGGCCTATGCTCCACTGGAAGTAACAGGCGTAAGTAAGTAAGTAAGTAAGTAAGTAAGTAAGTAAGTAAGTAAGTAAGTAAGTAAGTAAGTAAGTAAGTAAGTAAGTAAGTAAGTAAGTAAGTAAGTAAGTAAGTAAGTAAATAAGTAAGTAAGTAAGTAAGTAAGTAAGCAAGTAAGTAAGTAAGTAAGTAAGTAAGTAAGTAAGTAGGTAAGTAAGTAAGTAAGTAAGAATAATTATCAAGTAGCAATCTGTCTATTGTATGTTCAGTCCATATTGATAACAGAGTTCTATATATTATTTTACGTTGCAACTATCAGTCTAAGTGACTTGAAAATGTTTACACTATATTTAGATGGTTGAAGATGTAGATGGTTGAAGATAATCAATAAAGAATTGTGATTTTCATCCACAAAATGTAACTATGATCTTGAAGAAAATGATACTTTATACAAGTTTCAAACTTACATCATCAAATTTCTTATTCACAAACTTTAACATTAAATTATTCTGCCTAAAAGTAATCTCTTCAATAAGAATAAGAAGCTTTTGATATATTCCTTAAGATAACACTAGAAACTACTTACTTATGTCAAGGCGTTTACTTCTAATTATGAATCAAATAACTTAAGAATGTTATATTTCCTAAATGTTATTTTAAATAAAACTCAACATTTATGTTATTAACTCATTCAATATCAAGACAGAAATATAATCCCATTGACTTTAATCACAATTATCACTTGTCAATAAAGATAGACTAATAAATAGGATAAATTTCAATTCATTCATTTAAACTTAACTAATCAACATCATAGTAGTGATATAATCAACTCAATTATATGAATAAAATAGATTGGAAATGGAATATCATTCATTTACAGTATATGAAGTATTTCCTATATTAGTCAAGGAAATCATCATAGATAACTAGACTTATTAGAGAGTATTCAATAATGAGATCTTTTTTTTTAAAAAAACATAAAACTAGTCCCCTCTGATTTAGTTCATTACTAGTCTGATATAAAGTTATATAATAAATGAAAACATTTAAAGAGACTACTTTTTATTTCATAACACAAATGCATCATAGTTTGTCAAGCACAGATTTATATATTTTATGGAATGTAGAGTAGAGTCTCGTGACCTTCATGTATGTAAGAATATATTCCCAGTACGAATGGTACCAATATTACAATATTCATTGATTGGGACCAGTTTAAAGTTTGATATTTAGAAAAGTTTGATTAATCAGTATTATGCTTACAAATAAATGAATTAATTATATTCACTTGGTATTGTTCACTTGAATCTTCCCATCGATGTTTAGGACTGTAATTGATCAATCTCTTATTGGTATATGTGTATACTGTGTGTATTGCGATGATATTGAACATATGTCAATAAGGGATTGATCAACTGAAGTCCTAAATATCAATGGGAAGATTCAGGTGAACAATACCAAATGAATTTAAACTTCATTTCATTGTCCAAGCAAGTGGCTGTCAGGACTTATTAGTTAAGTGCATAACGTGATGGCGTTTGAAACGAACGGTACTGGGTTCGAGTCTCGGGGTGGAAATCAACTAAGAGATTCAAGCACATCCATCTGACGGGTCCGAAATTCGACGAAACGCGTGTCCTGGATTTCTCTGCTAGTCATTATCCGTCATTGTTTATAATGAATTAATTAATTTATACTTTTCAATACAAATCAATTTGTATAAATAATACCAATAAAACTATCAGAATTAACAAATGAGAAAATGATGTGAACAGAGAAACAAAGAAGCCATAACAAACAACGGAATCTATTTTCGGGGATGATATTTCACTTAACTCAAAGCTTGGAAAACGTCAACATTTAGGTTTGTCCCTAGTTTATTTTATAAACTATAAGCTTTCGTTTGATACATGATTCATTGTCATACCCCTTTTTGTTCCAAAGTTATTGTAATTCAAACGTAATCTTTTGTACTCTATTTTCTACACTAATCTCCAGTTTTGGACAATTGTGTTTTCCTAATTGTTTATGCGTTGTGGTTATGTTAGTCATCTATTTATTCATGTATCTTTTTATACCAATCTGAATCAGTGTAATCGGAGTTGGAATTGGAATAGGGAGTAAGTCGAGAAGTGTTCCAGTTGACACGTCTTTTCTCTCTCTCGCTTGTCAACCAATCAAGTGATAGAAACGTTTTCGTTTCTTTACCCAAGACAGTTAGTTTTGATTCGAATTCACTCATTTCTAGCTTCAAGGTTAAACCAGTTAGACTATCATTCAAGGACTTAATCTAGATCGAGGCAAGTTCTCTCTTGTATATTAGTTGGTAGATAGATCAAGGACGTGATAAAAAAAATAAAGAATATACACAAATATGTAAACTTTTTCTTAGTTGTTTTCAATGAAAAAGAGACATCAAACTTCAATAGTTTATAAGATACAAGATAAAATTAAAAGAAATATCAGTTGGGTTTCCACTAACCTTAGACAATTCATTATCTTTTAAAAGTTTTAAACTTTGCAATCCATCATTACTAGTCATTTGGATTTCTGGAATATTTGAATTAACTAGATCAGTTATCCTTCCATTCGGATCTATCATAGAAAGTGTGGTTAGTTTTGTAGAGTTCCGCCTTGAATTCAACGATGATCTTAATTTATTTAAAAAATTGTAGAAATGATCTTGAAATTTGTAAATTTTTAATTCTTCCGGAATAATATTCAGATAAGAATGGTTGGTTGTTTTTGATTCAATATAATCAAACCAATTGTTTTTACTTGATGAAATCATCAATTTATTGGTAAAACTGTGCTAAAGAGAAAAAAAAATTCAATACAGTTTCATTTGAGATGTTATATATTTGCTTATATAGTTTATGAAATTACAAAATGACTGTCATCGTGAAATTGAAGTTTTAGTGGCCCTATATCTGACTCCAATTGGATTGTATGCTGATTTTCATCGAAATACACATGTCGGCCATCCTCGTATAAAACTATCGACTTAATCTGCCTTAAAGGAATTAAATAAGTCGAATACGAGAATGGATTTTTGAATTCGTATATTTCGTAAAATTGTTAATTGAGACAAACGATTGAAGAAACGAAGTGAAGAGAATAAATCGAAACAAAATGACACTCAGTGGAGAAGGCGTGTGAGCCAACTTTGAGTTTAGTTAGAAGACTGGCTCACCACTTTAGTGACCCTAAATCTGACTTAATTAGATTGTACGTTTGATTGGTATTGAAATATGTATATCATCAACCCTCGTATATTATTACCGACTTAGATCGCGTTAGTGAATTGATTTTCGAGTACATATATTTTGTACACTCATTGATCTGGGCAGGCAGTCAAAGGGCCGAAGTAAAGGAAGCGAAGCGAAACGAAAGAACTTGCAGTGGAGTTCACTTACGAGCTATCAATTATTTTATCCTAGTTTAATATCCCCAGCTTTAGACATACATGCCACTTTGAATAAAATCAAAAATGGTAAACTCTGAATTTCTTAAACAGAACGATGATTTTATATTATTAAATCCAGTAATTTATGTTTTTAACTTTATCCAATAGTTCCCTAAGTAAGATTTGTGAATCTCGTATTAGCTGACATTGTTGTCAAGTCTTGCTAGTTTGTAAATTAGAATTGATGTTTTTAATGGTGACAAATCATTAATAAATGACTAGTTGCAATATTTATACGCTGTGAAAAAAATCCTCTTTAGTACAGTAAAATATTTAGATTAAGGACGAAGCGTCGCGTAACATACTCACTGACTGTGTTTCTTATTTATCGTTTAATGGTTAAGAACTTCTATTTTTTAAATCAATTCCCCCACTTGTCAATTAAAACTAACTAAAACTCAACCATTAAAACTCAAATAAAACGGAATCTGTAATGATAAAATCATATTATCAATTATCTAGGTGCTTCCAGATTGGTCTAGCTTTAATCGACTGATGAATTCAAACATTAAAGTATTACAATTTCTACAAACCCTTATTCTGTCAATAAACATCATGTGCTTACTAGTGACTTGCTTCAAGTTCCACTTCACCGCCTGGCTATGGTTAAGATGGAATTGAAGCTGAAGAAACACTAGACAACTAAAGAAAAAGCATTACAAAAGTTCAAAACACTCACTGAATTCAAAATAACAGATTACAAGCCTTACAAGATCTACTCAAAGTGAGGTAAGTTACTATGGCGAAAAACTAGAAAGGAATTGGAGGAGCATTGATTTCGACATGCCAGAAGGTTCTGGGCCAAAAAAACGCTATCATAAAGAAAGGATCTCCATCAAAACATTGCACAAGGTTCAAGAAAGGGGGAACAGGAAGACGGCAATTAAAAACAGCCGAACAAGAGCACAGAAAGTCAAGGAAAAAGCTGGATACACAGAAGCAAACAAGCAAAAGAAGAAGAGCATTAGAGATGACAGGCAGAAATACATGGAAGAGGTAGCAATGATAGAGGAAAAAGCTCCAAGAGAGCGAAATATGAGACAGTATTATGACAAAACGAAGACACTTGCGAAGAAATATAGTAAACAGGAGATACCTGACAAGAATAAAGATGGCAGAACAATCACTGAAATTCAACAACAGCGGAGCAGATGGGTAGAATACTTCGAGGAACTCCTGAATAGACCAGCTTTATTGAATCCATCGGATATCAATGTAGCACCTACAGACCTTCCAACAGATGTCACTCAACCAACGATAGAATAAATCACCATGACTGTCAGACAAATCAAGAGTAGGAAAGCAGGACCTGACAATATACCAGCCGAAGCATTAAATTCAGACATAGCAGTAATTGCAAGCATGCTTCACTTTCTATTCAGGAATATTTGGTTAGAAGAACAAGTGTCGATGGACTGGAAAGAAGGACATCTCATCAAGATTCCGAAGAAAGGAGATCTGAGCAAATGTGAGAACTATAGAAGCATCACGCTACTATATAAATCGTTATTCTAAATAAACTTTCTTGACTATGAGAAAGCATTTGAAAGTGGAAATAGGAGGACTTTATGGGAACTCCTTCAAAGCTATGGTGCGTCTTAGAAGATCATCAACATCATACGGAATTCATACGATGAACTACAGTGCAAAGTTGTGCATGGAGGACAGCTGACAAATTCATTCCGAGTGAGGAGCGGAGTCAGACTGGGTTATCTACTCTCTCCCTTCCTCTTTCTTCTGATGGTCGACTGGATTATGAAGACCTCGACATCTGAGGGAAAACACGGAATACAATGAACAACTCGGAATCAATTAAAAGATTTGGACCCCGTAGATGACCTGGCAATTTATTTCATACACACGAACAAATGCAGATGAAGACAACTAGTGTAGCAGTAGTCTCTCTATCAGTAAGCTTCAACACACACGACGGTAAAAGCAAGATTCTGAAATGCAACACAAAAACCAATACTATCACACCTGATGGCGAAGCTTTAGAAGAGGTGGGTAAACAGGGAGGTTCTGGTGCAAATATAAAGTCAGAGATTTGAAATGCAAGAGGAGCATTCCTATTATTGAAGCAAAACTCCCAGTCAACATCAAAGTCATAATCTTTATGGAGATTTCAAGACAGTTCTATTGTACAGAGTTGAAACCTAGAGGACCCTCATCAAACAAGTGCAGGTATTTATAAACAATTATTTGGAAAATAGGAGAAGACACTAGAGGTGGATAGGACATACATTGCGGAAACCACCAAACTACATCACGAGGCAAGCGGTAATTTGGAATCCGAAAGGAAAAAGTTCCAGAGGAAGACCAAGGAACACATTGCTCTGAGAATTAGAGGAAGACATGAAGAGAATGAATAGCAACTAGAAACAAGTGGATTGCCCAGGACAGAGTTAGATGGATGATCCTGGTGGGTAGCCTATGCTCCTCCAAGAGGCGTAAGAGGAGTAAGGAAGTAAATTAAATAGATCAAACTGTTAACAGACGTGTGCTCTTTATATTGATGATTATCCTTCGGCGTGTTAGTTTCACAAAGTTTTCTTATAGAATTATGGTGAGTATTCATTGTTAATGTTAAGAATCAGTCATACTATTTATGACCGCAATTATTGATTAGTTAATAAAATTTTAGATTTGTAATTTCAACTGTTAGATTACTACAACCTCTACATGTCCTCCATAGTGATAACAATCATCTGTTCACTAGTGATTAGTTTCAAGCTATAAGTCCTAGGGTTTTAGTTAGAAGCGATAATCAGTGGAGCTCCATCCAATATAATGTGTGAGACAGTTATCCACTGCAGGCAATGAATTACAAGTGAGCAATAACGTGTACTGTTTAGAGTTAAAAATTAACACCGTTGGGTGCCAGCTGAGTGGTCTAGAGGTTAACTGTTTGGATGCGAGGCCAATGGTTTTCGGTTCAGTCCCGGCGTGCGGGACCATGGGTGCGCTTATTAGGTGTCCCGTACTATGACAAAATATCCGTCAAGAGATTCCAGGTTTTCAACTATGGGCTAGCTAGGATCATTTCGTAAATTCATCTGGGACGATGCGACATTCCCCACAAATCTCCATATATTAAAAACCCTAGATCATTCATGATTATTTTTCGGCGCCATATCTTCCAAAGTAGATGATTTGATGGCAGATAATTGATTGTCTATCTTGACAACAGTATTAATTTAAATTTAGGATAATATTTAGTTTTAACTAAAAGAACTAAACATATACAATATCATATTCTATGTTTTATTACATTTTGCACAACTTACGTTCCAGTTAATCAATTCTGTAAAATTACAAAGTAGACTATATTTTAATTTGAAAAACAAATGAAAACATTTTAATTTCTTTTCATTGGTTATTAAAGATGTATGTTTATGATTGGTGAATATTAGAAGCGTAAAATTATTGAATGAATGAATTAATGATTTAATTTAATGTTTGAATTCATGAGTAATTGAAGCTAGACCACCACCGAAAACCTGGAAGCATTGGACAGCAGTTTCGTCCTAGTATGGGACTCCTCAGTAATGCACATCCAAGACCTTGCCTCGCAAGATTCGAACCCAGGACCTACCAGTCTCGCGCCCGGACGTCTAACCTCTGGACCACTGAGCTGGTATGTTTAACTTCAACCAATCCAAGAAATTGTGCCACCCTCCACCATTGTCTTCAGTGAGTTACTATCTCATAACAGACCCGAATGAACTCCACTGGTCACGGCTTCTTACTTGGACACCAGGAAATACCACTTGGAGACCATCATTAGTGAGTATATGGTGATTATAATCAGCTGAATTCATGAGTAGGCCGAAACGGCCGTCCAGTGCTCCTAGCTTTTTCATGGTGATCTAGCTTCAATTGACTGATGAATTCAACTATTAAATTAGTATATTATCCAAAAAATCCCTCACTTATCATAACTAATGATTTGGAATTTAAAAACTATCATTTTGACAATGATTTCTTTTTAATGTTCAAAAGTGAGCTAGTTCAGAAAGAATTTGTAAATTAAAGATAAGAAAGTTTTTAGTACTGTAATTGTGAACAAACTTTTTAAATGAATATCCCGTTTCATAATCATCACTATTTATAATCGATTTCTATCCAGTCAGGAAACTTTACATAACTAGAAAAGACTTTAAAATACGCATTTTACTTACTTACTTACGCCTGTTACTCCTCGTGAAGGAACATAGGCCGATCACCAGCATTCTCAATCCAACACTGTCTTGGACAATCCTTCACAGCTCTTTCCTGTTCTTATTCAACCTTTTCATATCTGCTTCTCTTTCCCGACGTAATGT